ATTATTTTATTACCAACATATTAACGGATAGTTTAATTATGATCCCAAAAATTAAAACTATATTTTGCATTGGGACAATGCTCAGAACAATGACTTAAGGGGAGGTTCTACTGAAAATCTTACTTTCTTCAAATTGAGTCCCATTATCAATATTCATTGTAAATTTAAAGTATTTCATAGTAAATAGTTAAATTTGAAGTTTGGAGAGCAATACCTAGCCCCCAACCCAGTTGAAGAGGAATTTTCTGCTATTTCCAGTCGTAACTTAAAAAACTCTCCTACGCAAAGTATTTCAACGTAAACTGATGTTCTGGGCATTTTTCACTTCTTTGGTTCATAATTGATAAACCGTGGCATTAGTAAGATACTGGGACCATTACAAAACCATAAGCTGTGTTTATAAGACAGCATGTCAATAAAATTTCAAGAAAATGTTAAAATTTCTGATATTTTAGTGACTTTTTTTCTGAAAAGCAACGACAAAATAAATTTGTTGGGTCCCATGTCTTGGTGATGCCACGCTTTATTGCATATGAGCCAAAGAAGTGAAAAATGTCGAGAACATCAGTTTACGTTGAAATGCTTTGCGTAGGAGAATTTTTTAAGATATTGCTACAACAGGCAGAAAAAACCTCTTCGACTGGATTTGGAGGGAGGTATTGGGCTCTAAATTTCATGTTTGACCATTAACTATGTATTACTATACATCTGCAACAAATTTTTACACTGGGTCTCAATTTGAAAAATGCAATATTTTCAGTAGAACCTCCCCTTAACTCGTCTGTTAAATTCAAGCTGTTTGCCCTTCGGTTTTGTGATGTAGATATGTAACTGTCTCTCAAGTGGTTTTTCAAAGTGATTATTTTATGTACCAGACATATTAACGTGATAGTTTAATTATGATGCCAAAAATTAAAACTATATTTTGCATTGGGACAGTGCTCAGAACAATGACTTAACTCGTCTGTTAAATTCAAGCTGTTTGCCCTTCGGTTTTGTGATGTAGATATGTAACTGTCTCTCAAGTGGTTTTTCAAAGTGATTATTTTATGTACCAGACATATTTACGTGATAGTTTAATTATGATGCCAAAAATTAAAACTATATTTTGCATTGGGACAATGCTCAGAACAATGACTTAACTCGTCTGTTAAGTTCAAGCTGTTTGCCCTTCGGTTTTGTGATGTAGATATGTAACTGTCTCTCAAGTGGTTTTTCAAAGTGATTATTTTATGTACCAGACATATTTACGTGATAGTTTAATTATGTTGCCAAAAATAAAACTATATTTTGCATTAGGACAATGCTCAGAACAATGACTTAACTCGTCTGTTTCCCATCCCCACGCACCTTGAACGTAGCTTGAACTCTACATTTCAATACACAGTGCAATCATGTAGTAGCCATTCTCTATGGTGCAATTTGTCGACACGGCAGTGGGCACATTTATTGATACGAAAGGAGACAAGTGTCATAGGATAGGTCATGACAAAGTGTTGGTTGTCTCGGACAATTGAATTTTCGCGCTACGGGGTGCCCATTTGCTTCAAGCGATTTGGGATGCATGAGACTTGATCATCATAGACTAATAATACTATGGGGCACATAAAAAACACTAATTGTAGGACTATGTAATCATTTTGCCTCTATTGGAAATATTAACGAAAAATACTCCATTACCGTTGGAACTACTTCGCAGTGCGGAAAATGGCAGTCTGTGTTAGGCTGAGCACGTCTGCGCATGCGCGAGAGTGGGAGGGGAGAGGGCCATCACGCGAGCATCGCCTCAGCAGCTCAGCACCGGTCAGTCGGCCGTCGGCATCCGAGGAAGTTCGGCTAGTCTGACTATACCTGACAGCCCAGCGCCCCTGGTCAAGCCAATAGCAAACACCAGGCGTCGATTCTCGGAACTAGTGCAGGATCGCGACGGCGAAGCCTGCTAAGACAAGCCATGCCTTGCCGTCTTTGTCAGATACGCGGTTGGACAATGTCCATGGACATCCCTTCTTTACTCCCCGCAGTGGCGCAGCATTACGCTGGCCTGGACCGCTCCGATGTAGCGTTACTCAAAATTACTCCTGACAACACTGTTAGCCGTGTCACATTCTGAGTTACGCGTAACGTTACTCCGTCCCGTAACGTCCTCACCGCAGCGTGACGCACTGGGTCCCCCTTCCCTTCAGTGCGTACCGTAATGGACGTCCGCAAACAAGCGCAATTGGCAGGACAAACTCAAATCGATAGCCACGACTTGTTCGGTTTTACCTTTGCAAGTTTGCGTTGATCGGAACGCTTCACGCTTCTCGTAGATTTTCGTCGTGACGTTTACAGTGACCAGACAAAAAGGTGACTGGCTTATCAAGCGAACAAGTGGAACTGCCTGCATATACGCACTCATACACACTGAATGCTTGTGGACAATTTTATTACGGGTAACTTGCACGATAAAAAGCATATACGTACAATAGGGTACTTTCGTAGATCCCTGAACCGGAAGCACACAGACGCCATGTTGGCGGAAGTAGATCCAAACTTGACATGGGAAAGAGACGTTCGTCAAAGGTATCGGCCACACTTGAACATAAACAGTCGTTTGATACTTGTTTGCAGTGCATATGTGTTTCGCGAGCAATATTTGTACAGCTCGGCTATAGTTTTGGATCCGAAGAGAGGTTAGTTTCCGGCCAATTTGGCGTCTGCTGGTCTGCCAGCTTCCGGTTCAGGATTCTACGAAAGTACCCTATTGGCATACCACACGCTTATCATCTTACGTTGGTTCTCGTGCGTAATACGATGATTTTCCATAGTAAGGTACGACCAATTTCCAACCTGCATTAAACGCACGAATGTCAACGTAAGGTACGCAGGATTTTCAGCGTAATACGCATGTTTTCAACGTATTACGCGCGTAGTCAACGTAAGGAACGTTGGTTGCGATTTTAGTACGATGACACTTCAGCGTAATACGCATGTTTAGATTTCAGCGTATGTTACGTTCGCGTTACCATCGTAAGATAAGTGTGCAGTCTGCATACTAAAAAGCGTAAATTTCAGCGAATTTGGGCACAACTGCGAGCTAAACGATGCAAAGATTCAAAATTACGCAACACCAAGTACAAAATTGTACACTAACATTTAGCGCGCAGGCTTCCTCGGCGCCTCGTTGGCAGTGCAGCCTTTACCGCCGCGCGGTGCACCGTCACTCTGCAGCCAACAGGTGCCTCGCGTGCCGACTGCAACTCACCTTCGGGTAATCCGCCTCGGGCAAGCCGACGAGGGACCGCTGGGAACACTGCGTCTGCGTTTCACGGCCCCAAGTGCACTGCGAGAAAAGATCACGGTAAATCCTGTACTGATTACTCCAGACTTCACCGTACCTTTTTTAACAGGCAATGCCGTCGTTTTTTACAGGCAATACCGTACTTTTTTTTTACAGGAAACGCCGTACTTTTTTTACAGGGAATCCCGTACATTTTCCCCCGGCAATCCCGTACTCTTAATACCTATCAAACACTGCTATAATTTTGTTCAGTCGATTGACCCTCTTTTTCCAAGTTCCTGATGTACGCAACTGCTGAAGTCGGACTCCTGGACCCCTCTTCCGACCACTCGTTGGAAAGGTCTTGACGAGACCTATTGAAAGGTGCAATAAAATTTTTCAGTCGGTCGACCCCCTTTTATCAAGATCCTGATGTGGACACTTCTTGGAAGCGGCCTTTGATGGGACCAGATCTGGTCTTTCCTACGGCATGGACTGTACGGAAGAACGGTAACTACTGTTAAAAGACTACGGAATATTTTGTAAAACAAGTACGGTAAATACTGTAGACTGTACGGAGGATACTGGTTTTTGAAGTACGGTAAAGTTTGGCAAAAAAATTATCCAGGATTTACCGTCATTTTTTCTCAGAGTGTGCGCCACCAACTCTGCAACGGAAGTGGAGAGGAATCGAAGAATGGCAACGGATTCAGCGAATGCACCGTGTGGACATCGGGAAGAGAGGACGCGTGGAAGGGGAACGCTCGCGGTTACGCAGTGTCAGGATCTCTTTCGTAGTCGTTGCTTCCGCTTCAGATTTACCTGAAAGGTTCACTCACAGCGTACAGAGCTGAGGCTGCCTCAGTGTGAGAACCCACAGACGTGTCTCAGCGGAGCCTTTCGTACTCAAGGCCAACCATCCAGAGACGCTGACCTCACAGTTGGCTATCTTTCCAGGGAGTTGTGAGATCATGAAAGCGGAGATAAACATATAAACTGATTTTTTATCAATTTCCAGAAGAAAAATCAGTGCAGGGAAAATAACAAATCACTTTAATGACGCGGAAGGTCATTGTTGTCCGAATAGCCTCGCGGTACTGCGGTAACTTTGAGAAGGTAAGTTCACTTCGGAGAAGGTTCCTGTGACTTTGACTGTTATGGACTGCAGGTTCATGTGAACTTACTTCAATCCAAATGAGTAAGACTTTCGTTTTATGTCCGAGGACCAGCCGCTGCTCGAGCTCAACGCGGTGTTCGCCGTCACGGGGCTGCACTGTACGGGATTATTTTGTGAAATTACGATAAATTGTCTGTTAAATTTGTACCACGAACTGCTCGTATATTTTAAAAAACGATCTGATCATCCATCTTTTTTCCGTCACTTTACAAAAATATTCTTAAAATTACAAACTTAATCCTCAAATTCTGGTCGTTTCAGGCATTTTTTCTTCCTATATAGTAAGGAAACAACCGACGAAAACGCACTTTTTCAGACTTGCTTTTACAATCATACTTGTAAATTAACGATTTCACCTGTAAATTTAAGAAGCAGTTTGTAAAATGATGAACAGATTGTCAATTTAAGGGAGGGTGGGGCACCTAGTGACACTTTTTGGATTTTGGCACTCACTCCGATACTGTGCGAGAAATGAATCTGCTTACACCTCAGAAGGTTGCTTTTATCCTTCCTTGATCGCTAAAACATGTTGTGGCGTTTTGACAACACCTATTTCTATTATTCACATAGCTTCCCGCAGACCTCTGCACTTGTCACTTGGTGCCCCAGCCCGGGGCACCTAGTGACAGGTCATATAACTCAAATTACCAGCATGGAGTGACGCTCCAGCTAATTGAAAATTATCTGTTTTAGACTCTTTAAGCTTTTTAAATATCAAACCTTTCTGAACGGCGCCATTTTTCCCCAAGAAACTGCATTTTACTTCAGTGCCAATCAAATTCAATGTTCTACGAAATTGTCGTACGAATTAGTCTTATTTATGTTTCGTTGTGTGACAATCGGTGACAATTTACTTCGCGGTTGCCAAATCGATGTTTTGAAACGTTTAAATCGTTGAAATACGGTAAATAGAGTGTGTCTGTCACTACCTGCCCCGGGGGCTCATTTCCGTTCAAAATTTGATATTAAAGAAATGAAATCATATGTTTGAGCTGGTTCAGCGAAAACAACTTACTAAAGGTCCTTATTATTGGTTAAAAAGGCCAGAACGATCGGCAGTGCCGTGTACTGGAAGAATGACGAGAAAACATTTTGTAAAAAAGTCGTAAAATCTGTGATTTTGGGTACTTATTTTTTTGCTTTTATTCTAGGGGCTAAAATATTTTGTTCAAAGTCTCACTTTCACTTGAACATGATTCCACAGCACACGACCTTTAGATAAGCCACCTCAAGTTGTCTGAAAGTGCCATAGAGTGGCCAGGGCACCTCTGTGTCACTAGGTGCCCCTGTCACTAGGTGCCCCACCCTCCCTTACAATTTACTTTGTAAAAAAACAGTGCAGTTCGTGGTACAGATTTAACAGGCAACTATTCTTAAAAATAAAGCTTCATTTGTAAGAAAACAAGTTTACGCGTTATAAAACGAGAATAGTCGTAAGATAACGATTTTATCAGTAAAACTACGATCTTTCGTCAGTACCAATAAGATTTCATCGTAAAATTACGAATTTATTCCAAAATTTGTGAGTAAAGTTTGTCGAAAATATTACAATTGTTCATGTCATGAATCTTGTAGTTAATTTACGAATTATTATTTGTAAAATTACAACACTAATTGTTGGGATTACTGTTGTAAAGTAACGACTTCTCTTAACAGTGTGGGGGTGCGCGCGCAGTGCAGGCCGTGAGGCCGTGAAAAGCAATGCCTCGCCCAGAATCTCGTCAGACTGCTGTCTCTCGTTCCATTGGTGTGGTACATGTTTGTATTTTCGTAATAACGTTTCGAAAAGTTTTCATAATTTTCATTTATTCGTCGGTAAAAGTTGCACAAGAAAATGTTTTTCGCAGTTTAAGCAGTTTACTACACCCTACTTTGGTTTGGAGTACTTAAATTCAAAATAGTGTTTCACAAATTGAGTGTACGTGCGTCTAATTAATTTCCATTCCACGCCTCGGTGTCCCCATTCAAGGATGGAGGAAACATCAGCGAGTTTTGACACAGACTAAGAATACATAAATGCCTGCGTTATAATTAGACTTAACACAACGTCCGTCAGCAAAACAAAAACTCATCGAACTATTTAAACCATGACTGTCAACCAAAGATCAATATATAGTCAATAGAAGGGAAGGCAACGTCTTGAAAATTGCGTTTGCTGTCCGAATCTTAGATTTTTTTAGACCCAGACCCTAAAACACAATCAACGGGTCACAGAAATAAACTGAAAAGACAAAAACTCACAAAATTGCCGGGGTAAGGTGAATAACTACTAGGATATAATGACGGAAAGCTTTGGATCATCGAAGAGATGAAGACGAACTCATTCGAAAAATTGCTGTCGTCAAACTGCTTAATCGTTGACTGGGAACAGTTCATTTCGGACAGGAAAGAAACACAAATAAACTTTTATGGAAATTGAACCCAAAAGCACGCGAACCTCTTCTCCCCACTGTGTCCGGAAGGGCTTCCTATGATCTTCTTCCCGCTAAACTTCTTGCCAACTGCGCACACCTAAGGCTTCTATCCGCTAATGTGGGTCCGGAGGTGCTTTTTTAGAAATCCAGCATAAGCGAACTTTTCCTTGCAAACTGCGCACTCGAAAGGCTTTTCCCCAGTATGCGTGCGAAGGTGCGTGCGAAGGTGCGTTCGGAGGTTTCCACTTACAGTAAAACTCTTGTGGCAAACTGTGCACTCGAAAGGCTTCTCCCCGGTGTGCATTCTAAGGTGTATTCTCAGACTCCAGCTTCCACTGAAACTCTTCTGGCAAACAGTGCACTCGAAAGGCTTCTCCCCAGTGTGAGTACGAAGGTGCAATTTTAGCTTTCCACCTTCAGTAAAACTCTTGTGGCAAACTGTGCACTCGAAAGGCTTCTCCCCGGTGTGGGTCCGCAGGTGCCTTCTAAGAGCGCTACTGACAGAGAAACTCTTCTTGCAAACTGTGCACTCGAATGGCTTCTCCTCAGTGTGAGTGCGAAGGTGCGTTCTCAGATTTCCTCCTTGCGTGAACCTCTTCTCGCAAATGGCACAATCGAAAGGCTTCAACCCGGAGTGGATCCGAAGGTGCGTTGTTAGGTTTCCATTATGAGCAAACTTCTTATCGCAGAGCGTGCACTCGAAAGGCATCTCCCCGGTGTGGACTCGGAAGTGCACCTGCAGGGCACTCTTGGATCGGAACTCCTTCTCGCAGACTGCACAGTGGAGTGCCTGCTGCCCTCCACGCTTGCCACGTGGAACACGCGGCGCCGCAGACGATGCCGCCATCTCGCCGCACGGTGCGCTCTCGAGGGGCATGATGCGCCTGGCAGGGAGGGCCTGCTGGAACACACAGATCAGTTAGACTTACTTCAGGCTTGCCCACTGTAACGGAGGCTAGAGGACATTGACCATACCTTAGGTGGAGGCGAAGATCTCAAAATGCAAAGGGGAACGGTGCACACCGACTCGTGTCCTGTTCTGCAACAAAATGAAATAAATATGGTTAGGAGTAGACGCTGGTAAAATTCTGAAAGGCTCCACAAGGTCCCCAAACGGTGGCTGATTGGTCCAGGTAACAATAACAAGAACACTGAAAATCGGGTATAGTTACGAATCCCCGGAGCGAGAGTCCAAGAACAAAAGTGAGAACCAGAATCGCTTCTGCGCATGCACAGACGCCTGCCCAGAGTCGAAGGGGGACGTCTGCGCAGAACCGGCTAGTACTTACTATTGCTCTTTGGTTTACGGTCCAAGAATTCGTTAAATACCCAAAAGATGAAAAGACTTTACGCCAGGACATAGCGCAATTCAAATTGGCCTTTCACCCCAAATATTTTTTGGATGCGGGCCAAAAACATTGAAGGAGTCCTGCTTTCATCCGGTAATAGCGTGGATACAAACAATTTAAAGTCTGTCTAACGGTGCAGGGTCATTCCATAAAAGATTTACATGGATCTGGGTGACCTATGACGATTTCGACCAAATTTGGCACGAAGGTAGCTCTAGTGGTCAGGAACATGCCCACAAATTTTTAGGTCGATATCTCAAGTGGTTTCGTTAGAATCGGCATTTTAATTTTTTACTCTTAACACTAGAAGCGCCGGGTTTTCGGATTACCGTAAAGCGCCGAGCGGGCCAATTTGACCCAAGGGCATTTTCGTCGTACATGTCAACTCTTGAACCGCCATTTCGACTCAAAGGGAACCTAAAACGGATTTGTAGACCCTAAGCAAGTCAAAGGATAAAATTTGGTGCACAGGGGTCTCAGGGGACGAGGTAGGCAACCCGCAAACCATGATTTGCTGTTCTTTGTGTTTTCTACTGTGCCTTGTTGCCGTAACGTTTTTGATGATAAAAGATAACATAATTGTAACCGCCTTGTGATCGAGATAGTGATTTATAATGAAATTACTGAACCGTAGACCACTAAGACCTGGCCAAACCTTCAAAGCATAGCTGCAAGGCATGCCCGGAAACCAGGATTCATAGCAACGGAGAAGCTCAGAGTAAGGACGATTGAGTGCTCGATTGAGTGTGATAAAAAGGCTGGAATGTAAGAGACATGTGTAAACACCCTCGGGTAGTCAAACTCGCCATAACCAGCAAGGCGCGAAGTGAGTTCTAATTTGCGTCCGTTCGTCATTCGTCATTCAGTGATCTGTCCTGTCCTGACCAGTTTTGCTCCTGCTGTATCCCTGAGATGGGTTTCCGTGTCGTCCATCGTCCTGACCGGCTTGTAGAAACATCTAGGGAATGATTAGTTGCCGAACTAGTTAAAATTCATGGGGGCAAGTGAAATACCTTGAAACACTAGACGCGAGAGCAACAAAGTGGACATCGGAATATTATTTATCTCTTTACGCATGAGTAAGTGATGGAGTCCTTTGTCCCACGGATTCTGGCTGAGCGTGCTATGAGTGCCACTGAAGGTAAGGGAGAGTGGGGTAATTCCGGACGCTTTTTTTCTTTTTGGTCTTTGAGCTTGAATATGCTTCTTGGGTTAAATGTTATGACAGGAGAGTAAAGTATGGACCTTTACCTTCAAAATGGTATACATGAAAGCCAATTCTCAGCAACGGTTAGGGAGATATAGGCGCCTAACAAAAGCCCTGCACGTGTCCGGAATTGCCCCAGCCTGGGGTAATTCCGGACGACCTATGGGGCAATTCCGGACGACCTTAGAATTTGACACTACTCGAGCTTACTTTCGCTTGTTTTGATGTGAGGCATGCTTTTAGAAGGCGTTCAAGGACATTTTCTGCGAACTGAAGTGTTTGATTATTACTCAAAGCATATTAAAAGGAATAATTTCTATCAAAACCCCTAAATTGACAACACTGTCTTGAGTAAAGCTCTTAAACATAGCTGCAATGCTATTTTTCGTTCTTTCTTTATCCTTCTTAACGGTGGGGATGCATGTCCACAATTTTGAACCCACTACCTTAACATTATGCGGGAAATTGAAGAAAATAACCCTTATTGTCCGGATTTACCCCAGAGGTAGTGAAAACCTTTGATGATCAACTGTAAGAAAACGGCGAGCCATACGAGCACTCCCGAAACGCCAAAGTAAAGTCCAATGACCATATAACATGATAAAATTTTAGTCATGGGACTGAACTTGACGGTAAGGTACGATAAGTACATGTAAATACGAGGGAAAGATGCAGCTTTTGCCTATTTTTGATGGTACTCAAATTTCGTGAAGCGACCACAGGCAAACGGTTTGACCTCCTACTTTGGTGATGTGGAATTCTCCTTTTAAACTGATTATCTTCCTCTGTTAGGCGGGCTCAAACCCACTCTCCCTTATTGTAGGATCGCGATGGCGAAGCCTGTTACGACAAGCCACGGCGGTAAGCGTAATTCCGGACACGGGGTAATTCCGAGGCTTGTTTGACGGTGAATCTTGACTTTTTAAGATACAGCCAAAATAGGCTCAAAAAGTCTCTTCGACTGGGTTTACAGCCTGGCATGTGCCTTCAAAAGTCAAATTTTAGTCTCCTCAATGAAAAATTTTATATTCCGAACAAATTATGACTATAGGATCCATTTGGAAAATGACAAGATTTTCACCAGAACCTCCCCTTAATTATGAAAACACAATGCTCACATTCTAAACTTGTGTTACGCGCATGCGTAACGCTACGCCGTCCCCTCATGTCCATACCGCAGCGTAACGCACTGGGTCCCCCTTCCCCCAAGTGGGTACCGTGATAAATGAACTTCCCAAAACAAACGTAACTGGCAAGACGATCTCAAATCCATGGCCGCACTTGTTCGATTTTACCTTTTAAAGTCAACGTCGATCGGAACGCTTCACGTTTCTCTCTCTTCAGGCTAATGCGGACGACCCGAAAGAAACCCTGCCGTGGTAAGCTTGTTTGACAGTAAATCTTGACGATTAGTGACCGGGAAAGAGGGTGACTGGGTTCCCAAGCGAAAAGATTCCCTGGTTCAACTGTTTGTTCAAACATACACTCACACACTTTATGATTGCGTACAATTCTGTTCATGTAACTTGAACGATTGTGTGCATATACGTGCAATGTGCGCACTACTATGCTCTCCAAAGTGTATAATTTGAGCATCTTTCGGCACAACTTTGAACAAAACGTAACGTAGGTTTCAAATTACGCAACACCAAGTACAAAATTGCACACAAACATTAATCGCGCAGGCTTCCTCGGCGCCTCGATGGCAGTGCAGCCTTTACCGCCGCGCGGTGCACCGTCACTCTGCAGCCAACAAGTGCCTCGCCGACTGCAACTTACCTTCGGGTAATCCACCTCGGGCAAGCCGACGAGGGACCGCTGGGAACACTGCGGCTGCGTTTCACGGCCCCAAGTGCGCCACCAACTCTGCAACGGAAGTGGAGAGGAATTGAAGAACACTGTTAAAAAATGATTGTACAGAAACAATCAGAAGAGTGAAAATTTAGTCGTTCCAAAACATAGAATTTCATCATGAAGCAAAGCGAAACAAATGTCGTTGAGTCTAGTAAGCGACATTTTGTCGTTGAAGAACAAAATTCTTGTTATCACTCTTTATGATACAATTTGTGTGGAAACAACATCCTTTGCAATTATCTACTCAATTAAAGCATATTATGAATAATCATCTATTTTGTTCTTCTAAGTAATAGGGAAATTACTTTTGTTAAAAAAAAACCATGCAAAATAAATTAAGCGACAAAAGTACTCTATGAATATTGTCGCAGACATTACAAAATTTCTTTTGGATTTTCAATACTTGTCGTTTATGTGTTATTGTTGGTGCGTTATTACAAGTTAGTCGTTGTGAAATTATCCCTTAGTTCCAATACAACTACGGTTTAACAAGCTATTCGTTCCAAAACAAATCTTGTCGCTAAAAAAGTTAGCGATAAATGTGTCGCTAAGTTATGACAAAATTTTTATCAGTGAAGGGCAACGGATTCTGCGAATGCACCGTGCGGATATCGGGAAAAGAGGACGCGTGGGAGGGAAACGCTCGCGGTTACGCAATGTCAGAATCACTTTCGTATTCGTTTGCTTTCGCTTCAGAATTACCTAAAAGCTTCACTCACAGCGTACGCAGCTGAGGCTGCCCCAGTGCGAGATCCCACAGACGTGTCTTTGTGGAGCCTTTCGTACTCAAGGCCAACCATCCAGAGACGCTGACCTCACAGTTGGCTATCTTTCTAGGGAGTTGTGAGATCAAGAAAGCGGAGATAGATATATACACTAAATTTTTATCATTTTCCAGAAGAAACTAAGTGCAGAGAAAACAACAAATCACTTCAATGACGCGGAAGATCATTGTTGTCCGAATAGCCTCATCAGCAGCGGCAACTTTGAGAAGGTAAGTTCACTTCGGAGAAGGTTCCTGTGACTTCGAATGTTATGGACTGCAGGTTCATGTTGCCTGAACTTACTTCAATCCTAATGAGTAAGACTTTCGTTTTCTGTCCGAGGACCAGCTGCTGCTCGAGCCCAACGCGGTGTTCGCCGTCACGGGGCTGGGGGTGCGCTCGCAGTGCAGGCCGTGAGGCCGAGAGAAGCGCCAATTCGCCCAGAATCTCGAAGAGACTGCTTCCTCTCGTTTCGTTCGTGTGGTACATGTTTTTATTTTTGAAGTAAATCTTTTTAAGTAATCTATCATAATTATTGTTTATTCGTTGGTAAATGTTGTACAAGAAAATGTTTACAGCAGTTCACGACACGATACTTTTTAGTATTTTAATTCGGAGACATGTTTCACAAATTAAATGTACGAACGTGTAACTAATTTCCACGCTTCGGTGGAAGGGAACATCAGCGAGTTGAGACAGAGTAAGAATATTTTAAAGACTGCATTAAACTAAGACGTAACACAAGGACCAAAGATCAATAAATACGGACTACAGAAGGAAAGCCTGTTGGTTCCTCTAGAAAATTTCGTATGCTATCTTGGATTTCTGATTTGTTTCGACTGAGAAACAACCCTAAAATACAAGCATTAAGGGTCACAGAAATAAACCGGAAAGTCAAAAAAGGGCACAAAATTGCCGGGGTTAAGCGAATTACGACAAGAATAATAACGGCAAGAATTGGAACATCGAAGAGGTTCAAGATGGATTCATTCGACAAATTGTAGTCGTCAAGCTGCAATACCGCGCAAATGCAAATCGTCGATTAAAAACACTTAATTTGCTCAGAAAAACTGAAAACTCATGACGAATATCTACTTAATATTATAAGGACTAGAAAGAAACACAAACTTCTATGGGAATGGAATCCGAAAGCACTCGTACTGCTTCTCCCCACAATGTCCGGAGGCGCTTTCTTTGGTGTTCTTCCCGTTACACTTCTTGCTGACCATGCACATGCACATGTGGGAACGACAGTGCTTCTCAAGGTTTTCACGTAAAGCGAACTTTTTCTTGCAAACCACGCACTCGAAAGGCTTCTCTACGGTGTGGGTCCGTAGGTGCGTTCTAATACGTCCACTTTTCCTGAAACTCCTCTTGTAAACTGTGCACTCTTAAGGCTTCACCCCGGTGTGAGTGCGAAGGTGCGTTCTCAAACTCGAACTTGCAGTAAACTTGTTTTTGCAAACGGTGCACTCGTAAGGCTTCTCCCCAGTGTGGGTCCGCTGGTGCATTCCTAGAGCGCTACTGGCAGAGAAACTCTTCTTGCACACTGTGCACTCGAACGGCTTCTCCTCAGTGTGAGTGCGAAGGTGCGTCCTCAGACTTTCACCTCGCGTGAACCTCTTCTCGCAAATCACACACTCGAAAGGCTTCACCCCGGTGTGGGTCTGTAGGTGCAATGTTAGTTGTCCACTTTGAGCAAACTTTTTCTCGCAGAACGTGCACTCGAAAGGCTTCTCCCCGGTGTGGGTCCGAAGGTGCAACTTCAGACTCCCATTTCGAGTAAACTTCTTCTGGCAAACTGCGCACTCAAACGGTTTAACCTTGATGTGGGTTCGGAGGTGCGTTGTTAGGTGTGCCTTTTGAACAAACATCTCTTCGCAGAACATGCACTCGAAAGGCTTCTCCCCGGTGTGGATCCGAAGGTGCGTTGCTAGCTGACCCTTTCGAGGAAACTTCTTCTGGCAGAACGTGCACTCGAAAGGCTTCTCCCCGGTGTGGACCCGTAAGTGCTGCCGGAGGATACTCTTGAATCGGAACTCCTTCTCGCAGACTGCACAGTGGAGTGCCTGCTGCCCTCCACGCTTGCCACGTGGAACACGCGGCGCCGCTGACGATGCCGCCACCTCGCCGCACAGTGAGCTCTCGAGGGGCATGATGCGCCTGGCAGGGACAGCCTGCTGGAACAGAGGGAGAGACCTGTCAGTGTCCCTTCAGGCTTGCATTATGTAACATCAGCGAGAGAACATCGATCATACCTTTGGTGCAGGCGAAGACATCAGAATGCAGAAAGGAATGATGCGCACCGACTCGTGCTCTGAATTCTGCACAATGAAATAGGTAAGGATTCAGAATGGACACTGGTAAAATTCGTTTAGTCTCTACAAATTCCCAATACGGTGCACATTTGACCCACTATGTGATAATGAGAACACTGTAAATTAAATGAAGACCCAACGCCAGCCGCAATACAGCTGGACCCTTTACCCCTAAAATTTGTCGGGTGCGGTGCATTACAATTTTGAGTCTGCTTTAAACCGTTTAAAGCGCGCATACTAGCCAGGGGAAGGCCTTCGGCCTCGATGCTGAGCTGGATTCTGCTGGAGATGCATTTTCTGCTGGAAATGCATTTTCATCAGTAGTAAATTTGGATGTGTTTATTTTGAAAATGATCCTCTTTTCTTTTCGGGGGGTGATAGCCAGGAAGTATGCTTTTGCGCAAAGGATTGTGATTCGGCAATGGTTGGTTTCTCCTTGAATCGACGGAAGGCTATTTAATAATCTAAAACTAAATGTTCCAACCAATCCTAACCTAACCTAACGGGTTCGTGACAGATCTTACTCTACTCGTGACAGATCTTACCCTACTCTCGACAGATCTTATTCTCAAAGTAAATGGTCCAACCAATCCTAACCTAACCTAACGGGCTCGTGACAGATCTTTCTCTACTCGTGACAGATCTTTCCCTACTCTGGACCGATCTTATTCTCCAACTAAATGTTTCAACCAATCCTAACCTAACCTAACGGGTTCGTGACAGATCTTACTCTACTCGTGACAGATCTTACCCTACTCTCGACAGATTTTATTCTCAAACTAAATGGTGCAACCAATCCTAACCTAACCTAACGGGCTCGTGACAGATCTTTCTCTACTCGTGACAGATCTTTCCCTACTCTCGACCGATCTTATTCTCAAACTAAATGTTCCAACCAATCCTAACCTAACGGGCACGTGACAGATCTTACTCTACTCGTGACAGATCTTACCATACTCTCGACCGATTTTATTCTCAAACTATATGGTCCAACCAATCCTAACCTAACTTAACGGGCTCGTGACAGATCTTTCTCTACTCGTGACAGATCTTTCCCTACTCTCGACCGATCTTATTCTCAAACTAATACCCTACTCGCGACAGATCTTATTCTCAAACTAAATGGCAGCTTGGCGTACGACTATGGAGCTTGGACTATTGAGCTTGGACTATAGAATATGGACTATGGAGCTTGGACTATGGAGCTTGGACTATAGAGCTTGGACTATAGAGCTTGGACTATGGAGCTTGGACTATGTATACGCATATGAATATAGTAAAAATAAACAGAAGAAGATACCTTTAGTAAACTAAAGGTATCGGGGGGGGGGGGGGTCGGACAAATGAGCTATTCAAAATCCCAAAAAGGGTGCTTCGCTTCGCTCAGCAACAAAGATTTTTAATCTTTCCGACGGCGCAACCCTCAAATGCGAACATCGCATGCTGGGTTGAGATCACGCCGATTAGCACGCACTGTGTGAGAGAGGCGCCTGCCGAAGTCAGTCAGCGCCGCGGGCCAAGCTAGGTGTAAACGCAAGGCTTCGATTGCCGAGACGAAACTGGTGCAGCATCCCGATCGCGAGGCCTACTAGACAAGCCACGGTCCGCTCTCCGCACAGTAAAAAAAGATTCGCTGTTTTGGTGGTCGTTCTATATCCAATCTCACCGAAAGGGGTACCATTACAAACCCGGCGACGGTCCGTCACCAAAACGGTGACCTGCGTCACCAGGTGGTGTTCCGCCAGAGAGGTTAGGATGACCACAACTGTTTTTGAGCTGTCTGTGCATATTTGTGCGTGCCCGCCGGCAACGTTACGCTTTGATGAGTCACGCGAATGATTACTGACAGCCCCTGACTTGCTTTGTGTCCTATTTCACATTAATACGACGATTAAAAGTCGCTGGCGGGAGGGTTAGGGGTAGGTTGGGGAAGAAAAGTACAAAACGCGTACTTTGCACTGTACAGAAGTTCCAAATGAGGATTCAACTATTCTGCTCTCGTGAGCTTGTAATCCAATGCCTTCCTAATGAAATGGATCACTGTGCATTGATTAAAGTTCCCCACATTACGTACAACATGCTGAAATGTATGTGATTTCGGAACTCCTCGAAAAGGGGAAGAAAGTACACCCCCGGGGAAAAGAAAAGTACAACGAAAGAATTGCGATTTCGAAGCGGGAGACCACCAATCCTGGCTCAATACACGTTTACCCCTAAAGTGGAGAGCTTTCACTTGCCATTAGTTCAAGTTTCGTCAAAATCGGTAAATTGGTTCTGATTCTACATACAGTCATCACACTGCTAATCCAAGTGTGGACCAAGTCCACGCTAAATAGCGTGGACCACGGTGGTCCAGGCTAGGAAACGTGGACCACGAATGGTCCACGCTAGGAAACGTGGACCACGAATGGCCCACGCTACGAAGCGAGGACCAAGCCGTGGTCCACGCTAGAAAACGTGGACCGAGCTGTGGTCCACGCTTCACAGCGTTGAACTTCTCATAGGCCAATCACACTTCCAAGTGTGGACCATCCGTGGTCCTCGCTTCCTAGCGTGGACCATTCATGGTCCACGTTTCCTAGCGTGGACCACCGTGGTCCACGCTATTTAGCGTGGACTTGGTCCACACTTGGATTAGCAGTGCACAGAAGGTCCAAGAAGCCGTTTCTCAGAGATAATGGGTAAAATTTTTTGTACTTTTTTTCCCCCTTTTTCACGTAAATGCCCAATAACTTGTTTATTTCGAGTCTAATTCTATAACTTGTGTTGACATTTTTTGCTTGTCTCGCCCAATCAAATTTATTTCCGCGATCAATAGGGTATTTCGGAGCAGCCCTGGCCCGGAAGAAGAAGAACAAAAACGGAAGTTAGAAATGGCAGTTTCTATGAGAAATATACGCTGCTGCAGATGAGGACCCGCAGCGTATATTTCTCATAGAAACTGCCATTTCTAACTTCCGTTTTTGTTCTTCTTCTTCCGGGCCAAGGCTGCTCCGAAATACCCTATTCAATTTTCATCCCGCTTTTAGTTTCTTAGAGGGAGTTCTTTTCTTCCCCAATGCCTGTACTTTTCTTCCCCAGCCGACTGTACTTTTCTTCCCCATTTCATTTTTACACTTATAAAACATTGTGTTGAAGTCTGAGAGCATCGAACGGCACTGTTTTTCGAAGATGATGGTCTAAGCTATAAGGTGGTACCTTACATTGGACTGTCGGCTGATTCTGCACGAAGCTGTACTTCAAAGTACAAACATTTAAAAAAAAGATTTTAATAGTTATTTTTCATGTGTTTTTCAAACGTGCAGTTTGTTTCTAAATATTTTATGTAGAACTGGGCCAAATTTATTTTTTGTCAGGGGGATGACCAATCTTTCTAAAACCACCAAGGTGATGGTTCAGTGTAGTTTCAGTTCGGAGATATAACGGGTGTACTTTTCTTACCCGAGCTTCGAGTGCACTTTTCTTACCCAACCTACCCCTACTGCAGTGCCGTTCTGGTGAGGTGGCTGCTCCGGAATGGACCGAGCGCCACCGAAACTAGACCGAGCGTCGCTGAAACAAACAGAGGGCCGCCAGAACAGTTTGAGGGTGTCGCTGTTCTTGTAATATTCTCGTTTTGGCGCCCAGACGTCACCGAATCGGCGAATCTTTTTTGGCGAGCGATAGCGAGCCCATGCCGTGTTTGGGGGTACCAAAAAGTGACTGGTCGTGCGTCTGTCTGTCTGTCTGTAACTCACTCACGTTTCTCAGCAACTACCGCACAAATAGTTTCAAAATTTCGCACCGGAAGGCTCCTAAATCTCCCCCAGGGGGAGTTTATCTTATATTCACGATTACTATTGTTTGAAATATTCAAAACATCTTTTTGAATTAGGTTCTTAGCGTGGTTAGGTTGGCAGTGGTTGGCGGCTCGTAGCAATTTTTCATACTTGCGGCCGCGACTCTCAAATACGGGACCTGGCAAAACATTGGCAAATAAAACAAACTAAAGAGCAGAAGGGCTTAGAAGTGAGTACGGTCATAGTTTTTCGATATTTTAGAATGATTGAAACCCCTCCGGAGTGTCAACTCAGTGAAACACGGAAAATGAAAGTGACAATTATTACGCGTTTTGTCCGTCCGTCCACCCCCTCCCCTCCCCCGCCACAGGGGAAATGTTTTAGTCAGTGGAGTGTGTTTGATAATTGCAAGAATGATTTGGTCTTTTTAACCTTTGTGAGTGTATTTCCATTTATATTCTCAGACACTATATTTTTTAGTTGTTTGCTTTGCTCAATAACACTTAAAAAATATATTAATACATTCTATGAGTACAAACCAGATGCTAATCTTGCCAAAATAAATAGTCTTTGCTGACTCTTGGCACTGATTCTGGGAAAAGGCTTCATTGCAATGCTGTGAGTTTACTATAGTACTAACCTTAAAGAAAACCATATGATGAGTGAGTGTAGCGCATTCAAGGTTTGACATTGACATCAGATTCAATGAGACGATTCACTGACTTGGTCATATGATTTCATGAGACGATTCTTTTAACTTAATCATACATTGTCTGCGACAACTGGTAATTTGTGTTGGTCATGGTTTGAGTTGGCTTTTTTTTTTAATTTACTCAGAATGTTAGGTAAATACTTTTGCTAAACTGTTTCAAATATTAAATAACACACCATGACTATCATTATGAATAAGATAAACTTGCGTTTAGCAATAAGTGGCCTCGACATTGGATTCTATGAAACGATTCATTGGATCTGACAGAAGGTCTTCTCCGTAAAGCAGTTGAAATCAGCCTGCCTGTAAATATGTCTCTTTTTAATTAATGCAGATAAATCAATATAGTTTAATCCACTAGTTTAAACTAAAAGGGAGAAAGGCTTTTTAGGTATTACTAATAACATTGCGTATTCATAACTTCAGTAACAAGGAGATATCGAATGGTAATTGAAGTATTTGTAAATCGTATAAAGCAATTCAATGCTGGCTGTTAAATGTTACTCGACTGAGTAACAGGGTCAGGGTTCATGGTGCGACACCATGAACAGGAAACGCTCTTAAAAAACCTAACAACTGAAGACCCATACTTTCAACTAGAATTACATACATGATTTAGGACCAAAATTTCCTCGGTGTTTCCTTGCTTCCTGCAGTATTTGGTGTGCTGATCACAAAAATGACTTCCAATTTCATCCCAGACCTTTACATTTTCAAATATTTACCAATTTTGGACCAAAATTTTTACATCGAGTTTCACATAGTTTCCTGCAGTTTTTGGTGTGCTGATCACGAAAATGACTTCCAATTTCATCTCAGACCTTTACTTTTCCAAATATTAACCGATTTCGGACCAAAATTTTTACATCGAGTTTTACATAGTTTCCTGCAGTTTTTGGTGTGCTGATCACGAAAATGACTTCCAATTTCATCTCACACCTTAGCTTTTCCAAATATTGACCAATTTCGGACCAAAATTTTTACATCGAGTTTTACATAGTTTCCTGCAGTTTTTGGTGTTCTGATCACGAAAATGACTTCCAATTTCATCCCAGACCTTTACTTTCCCCAAAATTTACCAGACCAAACTTTTAAAATTGAGTTTCACTTTGACCCTGTATTGGCCTTACTTTGCATATATTCTTCACCATCTTCTACAAGAATACAGACGCATCGCTCGCCTACTACGCGCCCAAACAAAACGGCGCGTACCCCTAGTTTACTGTGCGCCACCTTGTTTCGTTACGCACTTCTTGTTGCGTTACGCAGCTTTGGTACGGACCCATTGCAGCGCACCATGACGCTAGCTCAGACCACCCCGATTTAACGTTACACTAGGGTACTTTCGTAGATCCTGAACCGGAAGCAAGCAGACGCCATGTTGGCCGGAAACTAACCTCTCATCGGAACTAAAACTATAGCCGAGCTGTATAAAAGTTGCTCATCGCACACATATGCACTGCAATTAAGTATCAAACGACTGTTTATGTTCAAGTGTGGCCGATACGTTTGACTATCGTCTCTTCCATGAAGAGTTTGGATCTACTTCCGCCAACATGGCGTCTGTGTGCTTCCGGTTCAGGATCTACGAAAGTACCCTATTACGTAGCTTCTCTACAAATCGAAGACCGTACATTGTATACTCTAACTGGAGCATGCCTGCAAGCACGCTCCAGCTAGCGCATGCCTGCCACGCATGCACTTACTCGTGCATACATGCCATGTACACGCTTCCTGATGCAGGCAACTCCCTATCCCTTATGCACTAGATGCATGCTTCAGTTAGCGTGTACATGGCTTGTGTGCACTAGTAAGTGCATGCTTGGCAGGCATGCGCTAGCTAGAGCGTGCCTGCAGGCATGCTTCAGTTACAGGATACAATGTACGCTCTTCGATTTGTTGAGTGCTGATGAAAACAAAATGTAAACCCCCTTACATCCAATGTGTTACGCTACCCTGTCACCTCGTGTGCCGTCGCATCAGGCCACTGGGTCCCCCTTCTCCAAATGCGTACCGCATTTGATGGACGTCCCCATACAAACGCGACTGGCAAGACGCACTCAAATCAATGGCGACCTGTGTTGTTTCACCTTAGCAAAGTTTACGCTAATCGGAAATGCTTCACGCTATTCAGGGCAACCCTAGAAAATCCTACAGTGGGAACCTCATATGACGGTAGTGACGCTAACAGTGACGAGGGGTGAATCACTAGTGTACTCAGGTGTACAAATTTTCCCGTACTCAGTGTACTCACAAGTTTTAAAAGGGCGAAATTCACTAGTTTTTCGACCGATTTGGCGTTGAGTGATGCTTAAAACGCTTAATAAAGCATTGAGATGTTTACAAATGTGAAATTTATGGCTAAAGCAAGGTGTACTCACCCGTACTCATGTATGTGTACACCAGAACGCACAGTGATTCACCCCTCGAACAGTGATTGAAAACAAAAGTAGTATGGGTTTTTAAAGTGGACAGGTTACCTGGTTGAACTGCCTGCAGACAAACACACTGAATGTTCGTGTACAATTTAGTACGTTCAACTTGCAAACAACTAAGCAGTGAGTAAGTTTAAGCAAATTTGGTCACAACTTTGAGCAAAACGTTACACATGTTTTACGTTTAAATTTACGCAACACCAAGTACAAAAGTGTCCACAAACATTTAGCGCGCAGGCTTCCTCGGCGCCTCGTTGGCAGTGCAGCCTTTACCGCCGCGCGGTGCACCGTCACTCTGCAGCCAACAGGTGCCTCGCGTGCCGACTGCAACTTACCTTCGGGTAATCCGCCTCGGGCAAGCCGACGAGGGACCGCTGGGAACACTGCGGCTGCGTTTCACGGCCCCAAGTGCGCCACCAACTCTGCAACGGAAGAGGAGAGGAATTGAAGGAGGGCAACGGATTCAGCGAATGCACCGTGTGGACAGCGGGAAGAGAGGACGCGCGGAAGATGCGGTTACGCAATAGGGTACTTTCGTAGATCCCGAACCGGAAGCAAGCAGACGCCATGTTGGCCGGAAACTAACCTCTCTTCGGAACTAAAACTATAGCCGAGCTGTATAAAAGTTGCTCATCGCACACATATGCACTGCAATTAAGTATCAAACGACTGTTTATGTTCAAGTGTGGCCGATACGTTTGACTATCGTCTCTTCCATGAAGAGTTTGGATCTACTTCCGCCAACATGGCGTATGTGTGCTTCCGGTTCAGGATCTACGAAAGTACCCTATTTCAGGATCTACGCACTGAAAACCTTCCAACCTCTTTTCGGCTTTACAAAGAATACATGAGCTTCCAAAGAAAATACTCTGTAATTTACGAACTATTTCTTCATATAAGAAATTGTATAATTTGTACCTGCACGAAGTAATTCCAAAGGTTCTATGCGTGCTCTATTGTTCGCGTCGCTTCCGCTTCAGGACTTGCGAAATGCTCCACTCACAGTGTACGAAGCCAAGGCTGCTCCAGTACGAGAACGCAGTGTGGCGTGACTCTACGGAGCCTTGTTTCCTGTGATTTACTTAATCTTAAAGAAGTTGGACGTTGAGTTCAGGAAGTCCTGCGTACTGTGTGCATTGCACCAAGAACTAGGGGGAGACACCTTCTGGTTACTCAAAGTTATGTCTCCTCTCCAAACATACCGGCAGTTTAAAACAACTAAGCAGTTTAATTGTGATGCTTCTCTTTACGCTAGTCTTCTATAAGCACAGATATGAGTCGACCCCCTTGGCCGTTTAGAGGAATCATGAAGACTTCGGTTCGGTTACCTCCTTCTTGCGATGGAATTCTTTATCACTCATAGGTGTATTTGGGTGAGGAAGTTTCTAAACCCAAATTTGGTTGATAACTTTGCAGCCATGCACGTACCTCATACACCCTTTCTGACCAAACTTACGGTGATAAAGTATACCTCGCCCTAAATTGGAAATTGATCAAGACTGTTTCATTATCAGTGAAACAAGAGTAAAGTAAGATTTCAACAGCGGTTTTCAACCTTGGGGTCGCGAAAAATTGTGGGGTTGCGGCCAGGTTGCTGGGGTTGCGGTGGTCTGCCGGCTGGCCGTCAGGTCAAACACTGACGGGAATATAGATTCGCGGGAACTGCATTCTATAAACCATACGAACTATTTTAGGCCCTATACGAAGCAAACATTTTGTTTCGCAAACGAATAATTTTGGGCACACATTTGCTTTGAAAGAAAATACGTCTTTATTTACGAACTATTTCTTCGTATGACAAAGGAATTTAGTTTGTGCAATGAAATGAATGCTCAAAATACTTCGTTAGGTTTTCTGCGTGTGGACGTTCGTTTTAAATTCTCTCATAGGGCATGGGTTTTACAGTATTTGTAGATTTTTTTGAGGGGGAGGGGTGTTTCTGGTGATTGAGGTCGTGTGGGGTCGCGCAAATTTTCCTGTGGATCGTGTAAATTTTGTGCTTCAAATTTGGGGTCTCGAGCCGAGAAAGGTTGAGAACCCCGGGACAAGTTTCTTCCCTGCGGACTTTCTTTCAGATTGCCTAAAACTTGTGTTGTGATGGTGTCAACATTCTTGCTCTGCAAACTCAAGTGCGTGCCAGGCATGCTCTTCTTGGTGCATGCCTGCAGGCATACGGGTCATTCTACAGAAATGTTACAATTTCGCAGTTACAACCGTGAAAAATTAAAAGTTGTCCGATTTCATTCATATTGGGCTTGTTTTTCTTGTTTCGGCATGCAGAATTCGAAACGATATCAAGCGTCACACTTTTCGAGAAAAAAAAAATTTTCCACAGAAATCATAGGGGAAATGTCTACGGAGTTTACATAAATTGACGCCTACGGAGTTTACATTTTGAAGCAAATACCTGGATTGCAGCTGTATGAGTTGGAACAGTAGAACGCGCATACACAGCTGTCTAAAGGACCACCAAAGAATTGTTTTTATCCACAATTCGAAAGTTTGACGCACAGGGGATCCGTGGCAAATCGGGTACGGAGTTTACACACAAAAATAATACGCGACCCCCTTTTTGAAATTTGGGTACCAATCAGATGCTAGCCATTGGACTCACATCCTTCAAACTTGGTGCCTAGATGTGTTTTTTCATCCGGAATCCATTGCAGTCTTCAGATTGAGGCTGCGACTTACCGTTTGTCTTCTGGAGTGCCAAACTCGTAACAGTGCACATGTGGATTTCTGGGAAGTAAAAACTTCGGGACAAAAGTTAATTCTGTGCAGGCACAAAGCTTCAAACTTTTTACTAAAGTCAGTGGGATTAAGTTAAAGTATGAAAGTGCCTTAGCAAATAGAGCCGTCGGGAATGATTGTCCTGCGTCTCGTTTAGACATACGAGAGGCGCAAACTTAGTGAACTACGCATCGGGACAGCCACGGAGTTTACATTTTGCACCTTCCGGAGGCCACAGCCATCTGAAAACCTCAGAAACTTTCAAACCCAATAGTGGATCATTTTGAAGCACAAAAATCACCATCTTACCGCGCAAACCGCGTCTTTCTAGGACGAACCGTTTCGTCACAAAGGGGCAGGGACATCAAATTGTAACATTTCTGTAGAATGACCCATACACTTCTTGGTGCAAGCCTGGCAGGCACACACTTCTTTGCTGCATGCCTCAGGCACTAGCATGCATCAGCGACGGCAAGTGTGTGCCAAGAAGTGCATGCCTGTCACACACTTGAGTTTGCAGAGTGGACCCCGTATAGAAAAAAGACGGCTTTCTCTCGTTCCATTTCTGTACTATATGTTTATATTTTTGTACTAAAGATTTCTAAGAAAATGAATATTATCAGTTATTTAACTGTTCATGTTAAACAAGAAAAAGTCATCTGCATCTGGGGCTCTCAGCACCTCGCTAAGGAAACAAACATATGGGGACTTTGCTCCTATATCGGTCAAATAAATGAGTCCTTTGTAATGAGATATGTTCGGCGCTAGTTTTAACACATTTGGTTTGTTCATCAGTTTTTTATCTGAAGAATGAACGGAAAGCTTGTTGAAATTGAAAGCAAGTCAATTTATTTCGTATCCTTTGATCTGAACTAGGCTACATAGATGTGTATTATTTTGAGTCCTCTTTTTTTAGAAAAAGACTTATTTGCTTAACATAAAAAGTTTCAAAAGAGTTAAGAGTTCAAAAGAGTTACAAAAACCGGATAATGATTGGCAGTATTCAACCGATCCCCTCATTTTGCAATCAAGCCTGTTGATTCACCAACTCTAATTTTTTTAGTAAAAAGAAAACATTTCTTAAACTTGGGATTCCTTGGAGGCATACAAACTCAAAAAGCGTCCTAAGATGGGATTTGTACTTAAGACAATAACAAACAAGCGCAGTCAGTCAAAAAAAAAATTTCCAAGGTAAAAAATGGGGGAAATGACTGACCCTTCACATATCGTCGTTTTAAGTCGAATAAAGCAAAAGCCAGTACACTGCAACCACACGTGAGCTAATTGAGATAGATTTTCCTTGGTTTGTCCGGGTGTGCTGTTTGTGGTTTCTGCTCGTGCTGCACTTTATCTTGCTGACTGAGCACTCGAAAGGTTTCTATTTAGTGTGGGTTCTAAGGTGCCTTCTGAGACTTCCGGATTCACTGAAACTCTTCTTACACACGGTGCACTCGTAAGGCTTCTCCCCGGTATGGGTCCGAAGATGCGATCTTAAGGACCCACTTGTAGTAAACTTCTTCTTGCAAACGGTGCACTCGAAAGGCTTCTCCTCATTGTGAGTGCGAAGGTGCTTTCTCAAATCCGAACTTGTAGTGCACTTCTTCTTGCAAACAGCGCACTCAAATGGCTTCTCACCTGTGTGCGTTCGAAAGTGCGTTCCAAGGTTGTGCCTCAGATTGAATTTTCTCTTGCAAACTGCGCACTCGAAAGGCTTCTCCCCGGTGTGGGTCCGAAGGTGCATTCTTAGAACCCACAAGTGGGAGAATCTCTTCTTGCAAACTGTGCACTCGAACGGCTTTTCCTCAGTGTGAGTGCGAAGGTGCCTTCTCAGATTTCCACCTTCCGTGAACCTCTTCTCGCAAATTACACACTCGAAAGGCTTCTCCCCGGTGTGGATCCGAAGGTGCGTTGGTAGCTGACCCTTTCGAGCAAACTTCTTCCCGCAGAACGTGCACTCGAAAGGCTTCTCCCCGGTGTGGACTCGGAAGTGCACCTGGAGGGCACTCTTGAATCGGAACTCCTTCTCGCAGACTGCACAGTGGAGTGCCTGCTGCCCTCCACGCTTGCCACGTGGAACACGGGGCGCCGCTGACGATGCCGCCACCTCGCCGCACAGTGAGCTCTTGAGGGGCATGGTGCGTCTGGCAGGGAGGGCCTGCTGGAACACACAGATCAATTAGTCCAACTTCAGGCTTGCCTACTGTAACCGAGGCTAGAGGACATTGAGCATACCTTAGGTGCAGGCGAAGACCTCAAAATACAGAGAGGAACGGTGCACACCGACTCGTGTCCTGTTCTGCAACAAAATGAAATAGATATGGTAGGTAAAGGAGTGGACGTTGCTGAAATACTTAAAGGCTGCACGAGTTCCGCAAACGGTGGCCAATTGGTCCAGTAAACAATAACGAGAACACTGAAATGGGGTACATTAACGAATCCCTGGACCGGAAGTCAAGGAATTCCTTTAACATAAGTGAGAAGCAAAACCGCTTCAGCACATGGGCAGACGCCTAGGGGTAGGTTGGATAAGAAAAGTACACTCGAGGCTCGGGTAAGAAAAGAACACCTGCTATATCTCCGAACTGAAACTGCTCTGAACCATCACCTTAGTGGTTTTAGAAAGATTGGTCATCCCGCTGACAAAAAATAAATTTAGCCCCGTTCTACATATATAATTTAGAATCGAACTGCACGGTTGAAAAAACACACTAAAAATGACCATGAAAATCTTTTTTTAAACTGTTTGTACAGCTTCCTGCAGAATCACCCGACAGTACAATGTATCTATGGTACCACCTTGTAGCTTAGACAATCATCTTTGAAAAACAGTGCCGTTCGATGCTCTTAAGGGGGGACCCTGGTGAAAAAATCGCCAAAATTCCAGAAAATAGTATTTTTAAAGTTCATAGATAAAAATGTGCATAGAAGGTTTCAGATTCAACAGGTTGAACACCTTTAAGCTAAGTGGGTAGTTTCTTTATCATTTGGAAGGAAATAGCATTGAGATCAGTTGTCGTTGGTTTTTACGCTCAACTTCACAGCTTTGCTCAGTCGACAAAAAATTTTGTCGTAGAAAGACTTCCTGCGTTCCTGGTTGACACCTACATGAGTCGTCTTGCATGGACTCTATTCATTGATGACTTGTCGACAAATTTTAGTGACGGAATCTTGATATCGGCCCTACTTTTTTTAAAACACACCTAAAAGTTTGAAAAAAGGGAAAAGAATCACGTTTTTTTTAATGTTGAAATTTGAAAACTCATATCTCAGGACAGAAGTTAAAATTTGAAAATTCCGTCACTAAAATCTCTTCTATACATCTTTAGGATAACCCAAAAAAATTTTCAAGACTTTCCGTCCCAATGAAAGACGCAAGAAGATTTTTCCCCAACGCTCTAAAAAGCACTAAAAAGCCACTTTTCTCAGAGACCGTTCAACATTTTGGATTGAATTTTGTTTTGGGAACTCACCATAATGAACCTAATAATTAAGCAAAGTTTCAACTTCCTGGGATTATTTTGAAGCCCACTTGAAAGTTTCACCAGGGTCCCCCCTTTAAGCTTCAACACAAATATTTGTAAGTGTAAAAATGAAACGGGGAAGAAAAGTACAGTCAGCTGGGGAAGAAAAGTGCAGCAAATTAAGTCATATCGGCGTCCTGAGTCGTTTTCCCGCCCACATTTAGGGACGTTCCCCGGCCCCCGCCGGGCTCAAATTTGACACATGCTTGTGATTGTGGCATAGTTTACGGAGCACTGCGCGGAAAGAGTCTAGCTTGCTTCGATAACGCACAATTATTCTCCAAAAACGTGTCCTTACGCCCCGCTTGCCGAGCACTGCGGCATAAGTCTGTCATTTCGGCGTCCGAAGCCGTTTTCCCGTCCTCATTTAGGGACGTTCCCCGGCCCCCTCCTGGTTCAAAATTTGACATTTGGTTTTGATTGTGGCATAGTTTGCGGAGCACTGCGTGAAAAGAGCCTAGCGCGCTTCATTTTTGCAACATATATCGTCGAAAACCCCCGTGCGCGCTAATCTGGTACCACCGCGGCTCGTCGGCCGAGCTGCTATGTCCCCAAAAAAGTCGATTATCTCAAACTCCAGGTCAAATTTGACAAATCGACAACCTGGAGCGTGTTTGGGACACTCTACTTTATTGTTCCCGCCGAAGACGCAACTTGTTCTACGCACCGTTAAGGATTTGGACGGTTTTGAACACCACCTTGTTAAATTTCCCGAAATTTGGACTTTGAGGCCCAGCAGAATCCGCCTTAGTCACAATTTTGACAAGTGCTCGACGGCAACGTGATCTTTGAACCATTCTTAACCAACCCTGAAAATTTGGTTCTGAAATTCCAACTGGAAGTCACACTTTTGGGCAAAAACTCGCGGCCGCGACGCGGAAACTACCGCCGTGCGCTGCGGGTTGCCTACCCGAAATTCCCGTAAGGCGCCATGTTAAATTTAACCCTTCGTAACTTTTTTCCTGAGGGATGAAAAAGATGCGTCTGCGGGTCAAAACGTTTCTTTTGGCCTTAACTATCGATGTGCAAAGCGGCATTGCATGCGGAGAAAGTGCAGGGTCCGGCCTTTTTGTTGGACTAACACCGGCCACTAATTGGGGAAGAAAAGGACACCCTGTAAAAAACTTAAAGCGGCATAAATATTGAATTGATAGCGGAAACAGATTTGATTAGGCGAGACAAGCAAAAAATGTCAACTCATGTTATAGGATTAGACTCGAAATACACAAGTTATTGGGCATTTACGTGAAAAGGGAAAGAAAAGCACAAAAATGCTGTACCCACTTATACCTGAGAAAGGGCTTCTTGGACCTTCCATAATGAGTCCATGTAGAATCAGAACCAATTGACCGATTTTGACGAAATTTGAACTAATGGCAAGTGAAAACTCTCCACTTTAGGGGTAAACCTGTATTGAGCCAATATTGGGGCTCTTCTGGGTTCGAAATCGCCATTCTTTTCGTTGTACTTTTCTTTCCCGGTGGTGTACTTTTCTTGCCCTTTTCGAGAAGTACCGAAATTACATATATTTGGGCATGTTGTAATGTGGGGATCTACAATCATTGAACAGTGATCCATTTCATCAGGAAGGGACTAGATTATAAGTTCAAGAGAGCAGAATAGTTGAACCCTCATTTGGAACTGCTGTACAGTGCAAAGTACGCGTTTTGTACTTTTCTTCCCCAACCTACCCCTACTCACAGTCGAGGGGGGCCGTTCGCGCAGCAGCGGTTAGTTCTTACTTTTGCTTCTTGATTTACGGTCCAGGGATTCTTTAATTACCCTAAATTAAAAGACTTTACGCCAGGATAGGGCGCAACACAGATTGACCCTTCACTCTTAAAATTTGTCGGATGCGGGCCAAAAACATTATAGGAGTTCTGCCTTCCTCCGTCTCAAGTGTGTATACGGACAATTTAAGATCTGTCTACCGGTGCAATCAACAAATGCAAACACCGCATGCTCTTTTGATTTGAGACCACGTCGATGAGCGCGTCGATATCCACCTATGCCTAACAGCCCAGCGCCCCCGGTCAAGCCAAGAGCAAACAAGAGGCGTCGATTCTCGGAACTGGTGCAGGATCGCGACGGCGAAGCCTGCTACGGCAAGCCATGCTTTGCCGTCTTTTTCAGTTACGCGGTTGGACAATGTCCATGGACATCCCTTCTTTATTCCCCATAATGGCGGAGCATTACGCTGGCCTGGACCGCCCCGACGTAGCGTTACTCAAAATTACTCCTGACAACACTGTTAGCCGTCTCACATTCTGAGAGTTACGCGTAACGTTACGCCGTCCCCTTATACGTCGTCACCGCAGCGTGACGCACTGGGTCCCCCTTCCCTTCAGTGCGTACCGTAATGGACGTCCGCAAACAAACGCCATTGGCAGGACAAACCCAAATCGATAGCCACTTGTTCGGTTTTACCTTTGCAAGTTTGCGTTGATCGGAACGCTTCACGTTTCCCGCTTATTTTCATCGTGACGTTTACAGTGACCAGAAAATAAGGTGACTGGCTTATCAAGCGAACAAATGGAACTGCCTGCATATACACACTCAAACACACTGAATGTTTGTGTACAATTTTGAACGGGTAACTTGCACGATTGTGTGCATATACGTACAATTGGCATACCAGTCAGCGAACAAAAAAGCGTAAATTTCAACGAATTTGGGCACAACTGCGAGCTAAACGATGCAAAGTTTCAAAATTACGCAACACCAAGTACAAAATTGTACACTAACATTTAGCGCGCAGGCTTCCTCGGCGCCTCGTTGGCAGTGCAGCCTTTACCGCCGCGCGGTGCACCGTCACTCTGCAGCCAACAAGTGCCTCGCGTGCCGACTGCAACTTACCTTCGGGTAATCCGCCTCGGGCAAGCCGACGAGGGACCGCTGGGAACACTGCGGCTGCGTTTCACGGCCCCAAGTGCGCCACCAACTCTGCAACGGAAGTGGAGAACAGTTTCAGCGAATGCTGTGAAAAAGGGCAGCGGATTCTGCGAATGCACCGTGCGTACATCGGAAAGAGAAGACGCGTGGAAGATGCGGTTACGCAATTTCAGGATCTACGCTCTGAAAACCTTCCAACCTCTTATCGGCTTTACAATGAATACATGAGCTACCAAATAAAATACTCTGTAATTTACGAACTATTTCTTCGTATAAGAAACTGTAAAGTTTGTACCTGCTCGAAGTAATTCATACGGTTCTACTTGTGCTCTATTGTTCGCGTCGTTTTCGCTCCAGGACTTGCGAAATGCTCCACTCACAGTGTACGAATCTAAGGCTGCTCCAGTACGAGTACGCAGTGGTGTGACTTTACGGAGCCTTGTTGCCTGTGACTTACTTAATCTTAAAGAAGTTGGACGTTGAGAACAGTAAGTCCTGCATACCGTGTGCATTGCACTTAAAACTAGGAGGGAGACACATTCTGGATACTCGAGGTTTCCTCACCCAAAATTGGTTGATAACTTCACTACAAACCTGTCTACTAAGTACACACTTACAAATGCGTGCTTGCAAGTACACACTTACAAACGCAAGCTTACCCAAGTACACACTTACAAATGCATGCTTGCAAGTACACACTTACAAACGCATGCTTGTCGCCGTATAACTCCATGCGTCAAGCATGCGTTTGTAAGTGTGTACTTGCAAGCATGCATTTCTAAGTGTGTACTTGGCCAAGCATGCGTTTGTAAGTGATTACTTGCAGGCACGCATTTGTAAGTGTGTACTTAGTAGACTGTTAGGTTTGTAGTGTTTGCAGCCATACACGTACCTCATACACCCTTTCTGACCAAACTTACGGTGATAAAGTATACCTCGCCCTAAATTGGAAATTGATCAAGACTGTTTCATTATCAGTGTAACAAGAGTAAAGTAAGATTTCAACAGCGGTTTTCAACCTTGGGGTCGCGAAAAATTGTGGGGTTGCGGCCAGGTTGCTGGGGTTGCGGTGGTCTGCCGGCTGCACTGAGAATCCAAACGCTATGAGTATAGCGTCAATTGGTGCAATACAAAAGCATTGCACATGAAGTGCAATGCCTCCCAATTCCCATGCATTAGCATAGGGCCTTTTCGGGAAGCATTGCACCAAAGGTGCAATATGGCTGTGGCATTGCACGTATGGTGCGATATCACAGCGCATTGCACCATACGTGCTATACTCATAGCGTTTGGAATCTCAGTGTGGCCGCCAGGTCAAACACTGACGGGAATATAGATTCGCGGGAACTGCATTCTAAAAACCATACGAACTATTTTAAGCCCTATACGAAGCAAACATTTTGTTTCGCAAACGAATAATTTTGGGCACACATTTGCTTAGAAAGAAAATACTTCTTTATTTACGAACTATTTCTTCGTATGACAAAGCAATTTAGTTTGTACTATAAAATGAATGCTCAAAATACTAAGTCAGGTTTTATGCGCGTGGACGTTCGTTTTAAATTCTTCCATAGGGCATTGGTTTTTTTGTTTGTTTTTTTTTGGGGGAAGGGGTGTTTCTGTTGATTGGGGTCGCGAAAATTTTCCTGTGGATCGTGTAAATTTTATGCTTCAAATTTGGGGTCTCGAGCCGAGAAAGGTTGAGAACCCCTGGGACAAGTTTCTTCCCTGCGGGCTTTCGTTCAGATTGCCTTAAACTTGTATTGTGATGGTGTCAACATTCTTGCTCTACAAACTCAAGTGCGTGCCAGGCATGCTCTTCTTGCTACATGCTTGCAGGCATACACTTCTTTGCTGCATGCCTCAGGCACTAGCATGCATTAGCGACAGCAAGTGTGTGCCTGGGGCATGCACCTAGAAGTGTGTGCCTGGGGCATGCACCAAGAAGTGCATGCCTGGCACACACTTGAGTTTGCAGAGTGGACTCCGTATAGAAAAAAGACAGCTTTCTCTCGTTCCATTTCTGTACTAAATGTTTATATTTTTTTACTTAAGATTTCTAAAAAAATAAATATTACAAGTTATTTAACTGTTCATGTTAAACAAGAAAAAGTCATCTGCATCTGGGGCTCTCAGCACCTCGCTAAGGAAACAAACATATGGGGACTTTGCTCCTACAGGGTGAGTTTTCTCAATGTGCCAATAATTTGCAGGCAGTTTGGGCATCCCTAGGGGACCATTTTTCACCAATGAACTAGTGGGCGCAAACGTCTAGATACGGAGATAATTGGTGTTTTGAATTTGGATTTTGCGCCTACAAGGTAGCCACCCGGTGCCACTGAGGGTGGCAAGACCTGTCGAGGGGGTGTCGCGGGACTAGCAGTACTCGCGGGAGTGCCACTTACCTCGCGGAAGTATCCGTGGAATCCTGCCACCCTCGCAAAGACAGCCGTGAGATCCACTGTAACGGGGGCCACCATGACAGCCTCTTGAGACCCGCGGCAACCCCTCCCAAAAGACATTTGCAAGGTCCGCCGCACCCCTTCGAGACTCGAAGCAACCCTCCTAGACCCGCGACACCCCCACGTGAGGTCCTGCGCCCATCAGTGGCAGCGGGTGCCTACCTCGCAGGCGCGAAGGCCAATTACAAAACACCAATTATCTCCGTACCTAGACGTTTGCGCCCACTAGTTCATTGGTAGAAAATGATCCCCTTGGGGTGCCCAAACTACCTACAAATTATTGACACATTGAGAAAACTCACCCTGTATATCGGTCAAATAAATGAGTCCTTTGAAATGAGATATGTTCAGCGCTAGTTTTAACACATTTGGTTTGTTCATCAGTTTTTTATCTGAAGAATGAACGAAAAGCTTGTTGAAATTGAAAGCAAGTCAATTTATTTCGTATCCTTTGATCTGAACTAGGCTACACAGATGTGTGTTGTTTCGAGTCTTCTGACAATATTCCTCTTATTCTAGAAAAAGACTTATCAGCTTAACATAAAAAGTTTCAAAAGAGTTAAGAGTTCAAAAGAGTTATAAAAACCAAATAATGATTGGCAGTAATCAACCGAGCCCCTCATTTTGCAATCAAGCCTGTTGATTCACCAACTGTAGTTTTTTTGTGAAAAGAAAACATTTCTTAAACTTGGGAGCCCTTGGAGTGATACGAACACTGCAAACCTAACTGTCTACTAAGTACACACTTACAAATGCATGCTTGCAAGTACACACTTACAAACGCATGCTTGGCCAAGTACACACTTACAAATGCATGCTTGCAAGTACACACTTACAAACGCATGCTTGACGCATGGAGTTATACGGCGTCAAGCATGCGTTTGTAAGTGTGTACTTGCAAGCATGCATTTGTAAGTGTGTACTTGGCCAAGCATGCGTTTGTAAGTGTGTACTTGGCCAAGCATGCGTTTGTAAGTGTGTACTTGCAAGCATGCATTTGTAAGTGTGTACTTAGTAGACAGTTAGGTTTGTAGTGAATTCAAAAAGCGTCTTAAGATGGGATTTGTACTTGAGACACTAACGAACATGCGCAGTCGGTCAATGAAAAAGAAAAAAACAAAACAATTTTCCAAGGTAAACAAGAAGGAAAGACATCAAAGAATTGATATCACATGGGAGGGACTCGTTCTTTACAAAGCTAGATTGATGTGTCAGTCGCTGATCGTTACATGAATTGTCCTCAGACGATTTGTAATTTTGCATTTCAACGAACGCTTCCGGTTGGTTCTCCTCTCAGGCAGGGAACATCGATGCATCGCGATATCTCGAGATATCGATTCTCGTGCATAATCGAATTTACACTAGAGTCCGTGAGTCCGTGCCAAAAACCTGTTTTTTCCATGACCAAAACCCTCAGAAGGACACATTTCTTAAAAAAAGAAGTCAAATGAAACTTATTATTTCGTCTCTCATCTCCAACATAAGACATGCAACACCTGCCAAGAAATTTTCATTAGGAAGAAACCGCTAGCAGTTCTGAGACATATATCACGATTAGCGTGAAACGATGTTTCTTTATGACCAAATTTCTCAAAATTATCCATTGTCACTTGGAAAATACCCTCCTAGTTTTTTGTTGGCCAAAGATCTCTGGTCGTTGTCGTTGTTGTTTGCGTTCCAGTAGCGTTCTATATCAAAAGATGCAAACACTTGAAAAGAGGTTAGTTTCACATAATGCACTAAAAACGTCTCTCTTTCATGTTCATTTTCTCAGTATTTCTCATTGCAAGCAAAAAAAAAGTTCATTTACGATCTAGCGACTGACACTCCATCTTTCATTTGATACCACTCTCATTTTCCCACATGCTGTTAGATCTGAGATGAAAGATGTCCCCCCAAAACTCATTTTTGAACACAATACTCGTTCTCTTCACATAGAGTTTTGTATGTTAGTGAGTGGTGTGTAAAGAACGAGTAAAAATGGGGAAAATGACTGACCCTTTACATATTGTCTTTGTAAGTCGAATAAAGCAAAAACCAGTACACTGCAACCACACGTGAGCTAATTCCTTTAGATTTTCCTCGGTTTGTCCGGATGTGCTGTTTGTGGTTTCTGCTCGTGCTGCACTTTTTCTTGCTGACTGAGCACTCAAAAGGCTTCTACCTAGTGTGGGCTCTGAGATGCTTTCTGAGGTTTCCGGATTCACTGAAACTCTTCTTACACACGGTGCACTCGTAAGGCTTCTTCCCGGTGTGGGTCCGAAGGTGCATTCTTAAATGCTCACTTCTAGTAAACTTCTTCTTGCATACTGTGCACTCGAAAGGCTTCTCCCCAGTGTGGGTGCGAAGGTGCCTTCTCAAATCCCAACTTGCAGTGAACTCGTTCTTGCAAAGAGCGCACTCAAATGGCTTCTCCCCGGTGTGCGTTCGAAAGTGCGTTCCAAGGTGGTGCCTCTGAGTGAACTTCCTCTTGCAAACTGCGCACTCGAAAGGCTTCTCCCCGGTGTGGGTGCGAAGGTGCTCTCTTAGAGCGCCACTGTGAGAGAATCTCTTCTTGCAAACTGTGCACTCGAACGGCTTTTCCTCAGTGTGAGTGCAAAGGTGCCTTCTCAGAGTTCCACCTTCCGTGAACCTCTTCTCGCAAATTACACACTCGAAAGGCTTCTCCCCGGTGTGGATCCGAAGGTGCGTTGGTAGCTGACCCTTTCGAGCAAACTTCTTCCCGCAGAACGTGCACTCGAAAGGCTTCTCCCCGGTGTGGACTCGGAAGTGCACCTGGAGGGCACTCTTGAATCGGAACTCCTTCTCGCAGACTGCACAGTGGAGTGCCTGCTGCCCTCCACGCTTGCCACGTGGAACACGCCACGCGGCGCCGCTGACGATGCCGCCACCTCGCCGCACAGTGAGCTCTCGAGGGGCATGATGCGCCTGGCAGGGAGGGCCTGCCGGAACAGAGAGACAGACCGGTTAGTGTCACTTCAGACTTGCCTCATGTAACATAGGCCAGAGGACATTGAGCATACCTTTGGTGCAGGCGAAGACCTCAAAACGCAGGAAGGAATAATGCGCACCGCCTCGTGTTCAGTCTTCTGCAAAACGAAATAGATAAGGGTGAAGAGTCTTAAGACTTTACGCCAGGATATGGCGCAACTCAGCTTGATCTTTTACACTTGATGTTTATCGGATGCCGGACAAAACAATTTGAGAAGTTCTGCCCTTCGTCTAACACTCCCAATTTCCTTCTAAAAATGCCGTGGAGTCTTACTACTACACACTCAACATCTTATGATCGTTTTAATGCGTATTGCGATGGTTTTTCATCGTAAGGTACGCATAAATTTGCACATACGTAATATGCTCCATTTTTCATCGTATTGCGCATGAATTTCATCGTATTACGCATGAATTTGATTGTAGTACGTATGTTCTCATTTCTACGTATGTTACGATGGCCCTTTCATCATAAGAATCTGAGGGTGTAAGCAGATGCTCGGTACTTTATGACTCAAATCTGTCAAAATACAGAGTTCGCCATAGAACCCTTCACCATAGGTCACTACCCTCACTGCGCAGTCATGTGAGCTTTTTGTTCGTACGAAGACAAAGCGTAGTAGGATCTCGGGAGTGCAAGCGCGCATACAAACAATTTAAGATCCTGCCGACGGTGCTGTGCGAGCACCCTATGGTGCTATGGATTGAGGTCACGTCGACAAACGCGCACTGTGTCTGGGAGAGGAGCCTGCCGAAGGCAGTCAGCGCCGCGGGCCAAGCGAGGTGCAAACGCAAGGCTTGAAACGAAACTGGTGCAGCACCCCGATCGCGAAGCCTGGGACGACGAGCAACGGTCCGCTCTACACCACCTTCTTTCGTTACGCACTTCTTGTTGCGTTACGCAGCTTTGGTACGGACCCATTGCAGCACACCATGACGCTAGCTCAGACCACCCCGATTTAACGTTACAATCAGTTACTAAGGAAAGAAAACATAATGAAAACCCTCTGACAACCAATGTGTTACGCTACCCCGTCACCTCGTGTGTGTGACGCAGCGTCAGGCCACTGGGTCCCCCTTCCCCACTTGCGTACCGTGTTAATGGACGTCCACATACAAACGCGACTGGCAAGACGAACTCAAATCGATGGCACCTTGCTCGGGTTCACAGGTCTTAGCGAGTTTAGGTTGATCGGGAATGCTTCACGCTAGTCCAGGACAAGCCAAGAAATCCTACAGAGGAAATCTCGTTTGACAGGACATCGTGACGTTAACAGTGACCGAAAACAAGGGTGGTATGGGTTTCCAAGCGAACAGATTCCCTGGTAGAACTGCCAGCACACACACACACACTGAATGTTCGTGTACGATTTAGTACGTATACCTTGCACGATTGTGTGCACATTCGTGCAATTTGCAAACTACTGAGCGTACAAACGAGCGTTCAAAACAGCGGAAATTCAAGCCTAATTGGTCTCAACTGTAAGACAAACTTTACATATGCCATGCCATTTGGTGCGACACAAATTTTAAAATCTCGATTCTTGACGAAAAACCAGCTTTCCCATTTTAACCCCAACTGACCCTACGTTCAAATTAACGCAACACCAAGTACAGAAGTGTCCACAAACATTCAGCGCGCAGGCTTCCTCGGCGCCTCGTTGACAGTGCAGCCTGCGGCTTACCGCGCACGGCAAAAACTTTGTCGTGTTTTACAAGGACTGGTCACCTCAGCTAAGGGTCTTAAACCCGTCTGGCTAAGGTAGCTCCTTAGCCAAACGTTTGTTTACATGTCCGCCATGTTGAGCCTATAACCTAATTACCGATGCTTCACACTCAATAAACGAATTTAACCGAGTAAAGGTAGTTAAAGTTACAGAAAATACCAAGGTAAAATGTGCGATTTTTCCATTTCGAGTGCTCGTTTGCCTCTGGATGATCTAGTTCATTCACGTTCGTGAAATATGTGGTCGGCTGAGGGAGCGCCGTAGCGTAAACGTAATCCAAATTTCTTTCAGCAATCCTTCCTTGTTTTTGAAAAGCGAGTACAGAATCGGGTTCAGCGTTTAATTTTACGTAAGCAAACATGTTACGTTGTGTTTTATTTGTTAATTTTCTGCATTCCTACAATTGGCAAATTTGAGGTTAAAAATGGCGGACGTGAAAACGAACGCGCTGGGCTAGTTTGGCTAAGAAGCTACCTTAGCCAGCCAAGACCCTTAGCTGAGGTGACCGGTCCTTATAAAACACGACAAAGTTTTTACCGTGGCCGCGCGGTGCACCGTCACTCTGCTGCCAATGTTGCAACTTACCTTCGGGTAATCCGCCTCGGGCAAGCCGATGAGGGACCGCTGGGAACACTGCGGCTGCGTCTCACGGCCCCAAGTGCGCCACCAACTCTGCAACGGAAGTGGAGAGGAATTGAAGAAGGGCAACGGATTCTGCGAATGCACCGCGGATGTCGGGAAGAGACGACGCGGTAACGCAATATTAGGATGTACACGCTGAAAATCTTCCAACCTCTTTTCGGCTTTCCAAATAATACATGAAGCGTACAAAGAAAATACTCGGTAAATTACGAACTGTTTCTTCGTATAAGAAACTGTTAAGTTTGTACCTGCTCAAAGTGATTCTTAAGGTTCTACGCGTGCTAATAGGTCGCGTCGCTTCCGCTTCAGGACTTGCGAGATGCTCCACTCACAGTGACGAAGCTGTGGCTGCTCCAGTACGAGAACGCAGTGGCCTGACTCTACGGGGCGTTGTTTGCCGAAACTTACTTGGTCTTAAAGAAGTTGGACAAGTCCTGTGTACTGTGTGCATTCCACTGGGACTTTTTAGGAGATGTATTCTGGGTTCTCGAGGTTATCTCTACCCTCCAAATTTATTCATAGTAAAAGACGAAGCAGTTAAATTGTGTTGCTTCTTTATACATTAGACTCTTTAAAGAACAAAGATAGTCGCCTCTCGATGCCTTTTTTTTTTTAACGGGTCATGTTTACTTCGGTTCAGTTATCTTCTTTCTTCGATGGAATTCAGACCCTGACAATAGTGAAGTGAGGTTTAAAGTTTCTTCCACGCGGACTTTCTTTCAGATTGCCTAAAATTTGACCAAAAATTGTCTTGTGCTGGAGCGAAACATTCTTGGGCACCTTATAAAATAAGCCCGTTTGTCTCGGATCCATTCGTGTGGCGTAATTTTGTAATAAATAGTTCTAAGAAAATGAATATTTTAATTTGTTTGACGGTCAAAGTTTTACAAGCTATGGTTTTCTGCATTGGGGCTGTTCCAGCACCACTAAGGAATTTACCAATAGGAGGCTTTAATCAAATATCGCTCAAACTCAAGTCTCCTTTGTAAGGAGATATTTTCGGCCCTGTTCTGAACACATTTGGTTGTCCATCAGTTTTTTTTTTAAGAATTAACGGGCAGTATGTTATAATTGGGAGCAAGTCAATTTATATCGTAACCTTTGATCGGAACTGGTCTACAAAGATGTGTTTATTTCGAGTCTTCTGACAATTTCCTCTTTTCCTGACAAAGACTTATTTGCTGAACACAAAAAGTTTCAAAGCAGTTCTTAAAAAACCGCTAACGATAGACAGTATTCAACGGAGCCCCTCGTTTTGCAATCAAGCATGTTGATTCACCAGCTGTTACTGTTAAGAGGAAACATTAGGAGCCCTTGGATGGATACGAATTCCGAAAGCATCGTGAGACCGGATTTGTACTTAAAACTTAAGACACTAATAAACAAGTGCAGCTGGTCAACTTAAAAAAAATATCCAAAGGCAAAAATGGGGAAAATGACTGACCTTACATATCAAATCTGAGGGAAATAAAGCAATAGCCAGTACACTGCAACCACACATGAGCTAATTCAGTTAGTTTATCCTTGGTTCGTCCGGATGTGCTGTTTGAGATTGCTGCTTGAGCTGCACTTTTTCTTGCTGAGCACTCGAAAGGCTTCTATCTAGTGTGGATTCTGAGATGCCTTCTGAGGTTCCGGATGCACTGAAACTCTTCTTACACACGGTGCACTCGTAAGGCTTCACTCCAGTGTGGGTTCGAAGGTGCATTCTCAAACCTCCAGCTTGCGTGAACTTCTTCTTGCAAACGGCGCACTCGAAAGGCTTCTCCACAGTGTGGGTGCGAAGGTGCATTCTTAAAGCCGAACTTGCAGTGAACTTGTCCTTGCAAACGGCTCAAATGGCTTCTCCCCTGTGTGCGTTCGAAGGTGCGTTCCAAGGTGGTCCCTCCGAGTGAACTTCCTCTTGCAAACTGCGCACTCGTGGCTTCTCCCCGGTGGGGTCCGCTGGTGCATTCTTAGAGTGCTACTGTCAGAGAAACTCTTCTTGCAAACTGTGCACTCGTACGGCTTCTCCTCAGTGTGAGTGCGAAGGTGCCTCCTCAGAGTTCCACCTTCCGTGAACCTCTTCTCGCAAATTACACACTCGAAAGGCTTCTCCCCGGTGTGGATCCCAAGGTGCGTTGTTAACTGACCCTTTTGAGCAAACCTCTTCTCGCAGAACGTGCACTCGAAAGGCTTCTCCCCGGTGTGGACTCGAAAGTGCATCTGGAGGGCACTCTTGAATCGGAACTCCTTCTCGCAGACTGCACAGTGGAGTGCCTGCTGCCCTCCGCGCTTGCCACGTGGAACACGCGGCGCCGCTGACGATGCCGCCACCTCGCCGCACAGTGAGCTCTCGAGGGGCATGATGCGCCTGGCAGGGAGGGCTGCTGGAACACACGGATCCATTAGTCTAACTTCAGGCTTGGCCACTGAAACGGAGGCTAGAGGACATTGACCATACCTTAGGTGCAGGCGAAGACCTCAAAGTGCAGAGAGGATCGGTGCACACCGACTCGTGTCCTGTTCTGCAACAAAATAAATAAATACGGTCGGTAAAGGAGTAGACGCTGGAGAAATTCTTCAAGGCTCCACAAATTCCCCAAACGGTGGACAATTGGTCCAGTAAACAAAAACGAGGGCACAAAAAAATTAGGTATATTAACGAATCCCTGGGCCGGAAGTCAAAGAACAAAAGTGAGAACTGAAACCGCTTCTGCGCATGCACAGACGCCTGCCCAGAGTCGAGGGGGGACGTCTGAGCGGAAGCGGTTAGTTCTTACTTTTTGCTCTTCGGTTTACGGTCCAGGGATTCGTTAAATACCCAAAAGATGAAAAGACTTTACGCCAGGACATAGCACAATTCCGCCGTTCACTCCAAACATTTTTTGGATGCGGGCCAAAAACATAGGAGTTCTGCCTCTCTCCGTCTGAAGCGTGGATACAAACAATTTCAAGTCCGTCTAGCGGTGCAACCTGGCCAAAAGCGAGGTGTAAAAACAATGTTGTCGGAAGGATTGTCAAAACTGTTGTAGGATCGCGATGGCGAAGCCTGTTACACGCCGTGGTTCGCCGTCTACCTTACTCAGTTACGCGGTTGTACTCTGCAAACTCAACAGTGTACTGTGCACTCTAGTTAGAGTTTGCTCATGAGTACACTCTAGAGGGTACTCGGATGAGTACACTCTAACTAGCGTGTACTCAGATGAGCACACACCTAAGCACGCCCCTGTTACAAATCGACCCACATTCCCTTTCTCATGAGCACACTCTAACTAGAGTGTACTGAGTACACTGTTGAGTTTGCAGTGTAGACATCCCTCCTTTTTCCCCATTGTGGTGCAGCATTGCGCTGGCCGAGACCGCCTCGGTGTACACTCTCAGCCGTTTACTGACTATTTCTCATTAGCAGACGTATTTCTGTAAGCAACCATCATACTTAGTATTTAGTTCTTAAATACTTAAAAATTTTCTGTAATTTACAAAGAAAACTGTAATATCAGTACAGTAATTAGTAATTGCTAAGTAAAACTGACAAAAAATACTAAGTATTATGGTTGCTTACAGAAATGCGTCTGCTAATGAGAAATAGTCAGTAAACGGCTGAGAGTGTAGCGTTACACCGACTTACTCATGAAAACACGGTGTTAACCCCCTCATATTCTGAGTGTTACGCGTAACGCTACGCCGTCTCCTCACGTCCATACCGCAGCGTAACGCACTCGGTCCCTCTTCCCTCTAAGTGCGTACCGTAATGGACGTCCAAAAACAAACGCAAGTGTCAAGACGAACTCGAATCCATGCCCACTTGCTCGGTTGCTCTTTTGCAAGTTAGCGTTGATTGGAAATGCTTCACGTTTCTCGCAGATTTCGCTTCCCGCAAATCCATCCGGACGACCCAAAAGAATTCCTTCAGTGGCTTACCGGAAGTGGTGACGTTTACAGTGACCGGAACAAAGGTGACAGGCTTGTCAAGAGAAACTATTTCCTAGCTGAACGGCCTGCGTTATACACACTTGCACACACCCACACACTTAATGTTCGTGTACAATTTAGTACGTGTAACTTGCATGGTTATGTGCATGTGCATGCAATTTGCATAGTATTATGCGTACAAAAGTGCACAAACGTAAGCAACTTTAGGCACAACATTGAGCAAAACGTTACACAGTTTTAAAATAACACAATAAAATTGAAAACAAACATTTAACGCGCAGGCTTCCTCGGCGCCTCGTTGGCAGAGCAGCCTTTACCGCCGCGCGGTGCACCGTCACTCTGCAGCCAACAGGTGCCTCGCGTGCCGACTGCAACTCACCTTCGGGTAATCCGCCTCGGGCAAGCCGACGAGGGACCGCTGGGAACACTGCGGCTGCGTTTCACGGCCCCAAGTGCGCCACCAACTCTGCGACGGAGGTGGAGAGGAATTGAAGAAGGGCAACGGATTCTGCGAATGCACCGTGCGGACCGCGGGAAGAGAGGACGCGTGGAGGGAAACGCTCGCGGTTACGCAGTGTCAGGATGTCTTCCGTATTCGTTGCTTTTGCTTCAGAATTACCTAAAAGCTTCACTCACAGCGTACGCAGCTGAGGCTGCCCCAGTGCGAGAGCCCACTGATGTGTCTCCGCAGAGTCTTTCGTACTCAGGGCCCACCATCCAAAGGCGCTTACCTCACAGTTGTCTATTTACGAGGGAGTTGTGAAATCGTTAAAGCGGAGGTGAAGATAAACTAAATTTTTATCACTTTCCTGAAGAAACTGAGTGCACACTCTACCAAAAATGTCCTGTAAATGCCGTTAATTTATTACCAGTTTTCACTGTAGGTCAATTCACAGCGTTTACTGTAATCTGCTCACGGGATTCACTGTGATCTTGTTCGCGGTGTTCACTGTGATCTGGTCCCCAGTAAACGCTGTGAGTTTGACGCCGCTGAGCACCGAAGGACTGCAAATCAGGCTCCAATTCACGGCGTTTACTGTGGCCAGATCACAGTGAACACTGTAACCGAGATCACAGTGAACGCCGTGAACTAGTTCACAGCAAACGCCGTGAATTGCATCACAGCAAACATTGGTAAAAAATTAACGGCGTTGACAGGACATTTTTTGTAGAGTGCAGGATCAACTCCAACAATAATCACTTGAGCGGAAGATTATTACAGTACAAATAGCATTATCAGCACTGCAAAAACTTTCGGAATCGGAAGGTAACTTCGCAGAGGGTTCCTAAGACTTAAATTTTTACGGACTTCAGAATCATGTTTATGTTGCCTGAACTTACTTCATCCCATATCATTAAGACTTTCGTTTTCTGTCCGAGGACCAGCTGCTGCTCCAGCCCAGCGCGCTGTTCGCCGTCACGGGGCTGGGGGTGCGCTGCAGCGCAGGCCGTGAGGAGCGCCGCCTCACCCAGAATCTCGAAGAGACTGCTTCCCCTCGTTTCGTTTGTGTGGTGCATGCTCGTATTTTTGAAATAAACCTTTCAAGAAGTTTTCATAATTATTGTTTATTGGTCGGTAAAAGTTGCACAAGAAATTGTTTACTACAGTTTGAGCAGTTTAAGCACCTTCCTTCGGAGCAATAAGCATCGGAGACATGTTTCACAAATGTTTCAAACTATGGAATTTTTTTAAGAGCGGATTTAATTAAAAGAATTAAATGCTCGTGCGTAAGAACAATTTCCATGCCTCGGTTTCCCTGTAAAAGGATGGAGAGGACATCAGGCAGTTTTAAGACAGGCGAAGGAATATGCTTTATACTAAGACTTAAAAATAAGATCATGGTCAATACAAGAACTCATCGAACAATTCAAATAATTAGAATCCACCAAAGTTAATTGGTTTCGGTCAATTATTTTTTTTTTTACGAAAAGCCTGGAACCACCCCTTGCTAGTTTAGTATGGCGTCTTGATTACAAGTAAGTTTCGTTTGATCCTCTCAAAAGCACGCGAAGGGTCACGAACAAGACAAAAGAGACAGAACTAAAATTGCGGAGGCGAGGACTAAAAGTGGCAGAATTGAACCATCGAAGAGGCAAGATACGGGTTCATTCGGAAAACTGCGGTCGTCAGGCTTCTTTACTAAGCAGCGGCACTCGTCGGTAAAAAAAAGAGAAAACGACTTAATCACCAAAAAAAATCTGAAAACTAATGACTAACGTCTTCTTGCTATTTTAAGGACTCGAAAGAAACACAAACGTTTTAAAAAACTGAACCCGAAAGCACTCGAACTGCTTCTCCCCACAGTGTCCGCAGGTGCTTTCTCTGATGTTCTTCCCGCCAGACTTCTTGCTAACAGTGCACATCCAAGGCTCCTATCCGATGACGTGGGTCCGAAGGTGCTTCTTGAGATTTCCACTTAGAGCGAAGTTTTTCTTGCAAACCGTGCACTTGAAAGGCTTGTGCCCAGTGTGAGTCAGGAGGTGCGTTCTGAGAGCTCCACTTCGATTGAAACTCTTCTTGCAAACTGTGCACTCGAAAGGCTTTTCCCCGGTGTGGGTGCGAAGGTGCGTTCTGAGATTTCCACTGCTAGTAAAGCTCCGCTGACATTCTGTGCACTCGAAAGGCTTCTCACCTGTGTGCGTTCTAAGGTGCTTTCTCAGATCCCCACCTTCAGTAAAACGTTTCTTGCAAACTGCGCACTCGAAAGGCTTCTCACCTGTGTGCGTTCTAAGGTGCTTTCTCAGAACCCCACCTGCAGTAAACTTCTTCGTGCAAACTGCACACTCGAAAGGCTTGTCCCCGGTGTGCGTTCGAAGGTGGTCTCTCAGACTCCAACTTGCAGTAAAACTCTTTTTACAAACTGTGCACTCGAAAGGTTTCTCTCCGGTGTGAGTCCGAAGATGCTGCCTGAGGATTCCACTTCCTGTGAACTTCTCCTGGCAAACTGTGCTCTCGAAAGGCTTCTCCCCAGTGTGGGTCCGAACGTGCGACTTGAGATTTCCACTATGAGAAAACTTCTTCCCGCAGAACGTGCACTCGAAAGGCTTCTCCCCGGTGTGGACTCGAAAGTGCACCTGGAGGACACTCTTGAATCGGAACTCCTTCTCGCAGACTGCACAGTGGAGTGCCTGCTGCCCTCCACGCTTGCCACGTGGAACACGCGGCGCCGCTGACGATGCCGCCACCTCGCCGCACAGTGAGCTCTCGAGGGGCATGATGCGCCTGGCAGGGAGGGCCTGCTGGAATAGAGAGACAGACCTGTTAGCGTCACTTCAGGCTTGCCTCGTGTAACAGAGGCCAGAGAAAATTGAGCATACCTTTGGAGCTGGTGAAGAACTCAAAGTGCAGGAAGGGATGATGCGCACCGACTCGTTCTCTGAATCCTGAAAAATTAAATAGGAAAGGATTGAGAAAGGATGCTACAGTTAAATATTTTAAGGCTTTACAAATTCCCAATATAGTAGACATTTGACCCATTGAGTAAGTAATACTGAAAGACCTAACGCCAGCCGCAACACAGCTTGACCCTTAACCCCTAAAATTTGTCGGATGCGGTGCATAACAATTTTCAGTCTGTTTTAACCGTTCTAAGCGCGCATTCAAACTATATTAGATCTTTCCGACGGTGCAACCCTCAAATGCGAGCACCGCACTCGACCGCATGCTATCACGTGGACTAGCGCACACTGTGTCTGGGAGAGGAGCCTGCCGAAGTCACTCAGCGCCGCGGGCCAACACACTAAATGTTTTAGTACAAATTTTGTACGAGACATCACAGTTTTTAGTGCACACGAACTGTACGTACAAATTTGTACAAAATTTTGCACACAAAGGGGAAATTTGTGCAGTTTTTCGTACAAAAATTGTACGAAAAGTTCGTGTGCACCAAAAACTGTGATGTCTCGTATAGAATTGTACATAACGTTTAGTGTGAAGCTAGGTGCAAACGCAAGGCGTTGAATGCCGAAACGAAAATGGTGCAGCATCCCGTCCGCGTAGCCTGGTAACGACGAGCAATGGTCTGCCCTACTCCACCTTGTTTCGTTACGCACTTCTTGTTACGTTACGCAGCTTTGGTACGGACCCATTGCAGCACACCATGACGCTAGCTCAGACCACCACGATTTAACCGTACAATCACTTACTGAGGAAAACACAATGTAAACCCTCTCACATTCAATGTGTTACGCTACCCCGTCACGTCGTGTGTCCCGCAGCGTCAGGCCACTGGGTCCCCCTTCCCCACTTGCGTACCGTATTTGACGGACGTCCCCATACAAACACGACTGGCAAGTCGAACTAACATCGATGGCCCCTTGTTTGGTTTTACCTCAGCAAGTTTACGTTGATCGGGAATGCTTCACGCTAGACAGGACAAGCCAAGAAATCCTACAGTGGAAACCTCGTTAGACAGTAGATCGTGACTTTAACAGTTACCGGAAACAAGGGTAGTATGGGTTTCCAAGCGAACAGATTCCCTAATAGAACTGCCTGCAGACACACACACTGAATGTTCGCCGACAATTTAGTACGTATACTTTGCACGATTGTGTGCACATACGTGCAATTCGCAAACTACTGTGCGTACAAAACTGCGGAAACTTGAGAAATTTTGGTCTCTACTTGGAGCAAAACGTTACATACGTTCAAATTTAAGCAACACCAAGTTTGAACTTGCACACAAACATTTATCGCGCAGGCTTCCTCGGCGCCTCGTTGGCAGTGCAGCCTTCACCGCCGCGCGGTGCACCGTCACTCTGCAGCCAACAGGTGCCTCGCGTGCCGACTGCAACTTACCTTCGGGTAATCCGCCTCGGGCAAGCCGACGAGGGACCGCTGGGAACACTGCGGCTGCGTTTCACGGCCCCAAGTGCGCCACCAACTCTGCAACGGAAGTGGAGAACAGTTTCACCGAATGCTGTGAAGAAGGGCAGCGGATTCTGCGAATGCACCGTGTGGACAGCGGAAAGAGAGGACGCGTGGAAGATGCGGTTACGCAATTTCAGGATCCACGCTCTGAAAATCCTCCAACCTCTTTCCGGCTTTACAAAGAATTCATGAGCTTTCAAAGAAAAGAATAAGTTACGAACTATTTCTTCGTATAAGAAACTGTATAGTTCTGCTCAAAGTACTTCGTAAGGTTCTACGCGTGCTCTCTTGTTCCCGTCGCTTCCGCTCCACTCACAGTGTACGAATCTAAGGCTGCTCCAGTGCGAGAACGCACTGACATGACTCCGCGGAGCCTTGCGTCCTGTAACTTACTAAATCTTCAAGAAGTTGGACGTTGGTTGCAGTAACAAGCGTTCAGTGTGCATTGCACTAACAAGGGAACCTATTCAGGGGGTACACTCAGATTTCCACCAAACTTTTTTTTTCGAAAGAATAACATATAAGATTAAGAATGCACCCCAAAGTTGGTGCCAAGATACATGTCCACACCCCTCCTGACTTTTTTAAACCGAAAAAAGGGGTAAAATGGCCCATGTTTTTACATGCAACGAGCAGTTTTCGGTCGTAAATTGGGCAGTCGCACCAAATTTGTGCAAAATATGATAATATATGAAACAGACCAAAATTTTCTCTCATTTTCGTCACAAGGGGACCAAACATTGAAGGAAATGACAAAAAACTCGACTTCAAATTTTCCGATTCGATGTCCGAAAATGACCCATACACTGCAAAAAAGCTTATTTTACCCCTTTTTTAGGTTTTAGAAAATTGGTAATGGGTGTAGATATATATCTTGGCACCAACTTTGAGGTGCATTCTTAGTCTTATATGTTATTCTTACGAAAAAAAAAGTTTGGTCGAAATCTGAGTGTACCCCCTGAATAGGTTCCCTTGTAAGAACTAGTGAGATACATTCTGGTTACTCGAGGTTAACTCTCCTCTCCAAATACACTAGAGGTTAAAAAAAAAGAAGCAGTTTAGTTGTCTTGCTTCTTTTTACACGAGTCTCCTAAAAGTACAAAGATGAGTGGACCCCTTGGCCGCCTGTTTAAAGGAGTCATGTAGACTTTGGTTCAGTAACCTCCTTTTTCCGATGGAATTTAGACCAGGCCCTGCACTGAAAATGATAGAGTCATCATGATCGGGACTAAAATTTTGGGCGGGGAATTCTTTATCGCCCATTTTTGGGTGTGGAAACCTTGGGTGATAACTATGCAGCCATACACGTAGCTGAAACACCCTTTCTCGCCCAAATTACGGTGTTTAAGTCGAGGGGGTAGCAACTCCCAAAAATCGCGGCCCGACTATTACGTTTTGAGACTATTACGCCTAATAGATGGGATATTACGTATATTACGCGGCTATTACGTTCTATTACGGACTATTGTGCTACGCGGTTATTACGCTTTGAAAAACAGCGCCAAATCTTTCACGTTGCTTCCGCTTCCTGCAACATACTCGTGTTATGAAAAATCCCGCTGTTCATTTGCAGTGCACAGTTTTTCTTTTCTTTTTTGGTTATTTTTGAAGGTTGTTCGAAGTTATTTACTAGAACTAGGTCCAAATCAAGTGAATTTTCAAAGTGGCCCAAATCAAGATCTTCTTTCAGAAATGGATTCGTCTCGTCAAGACAAACAAAAAATGTCAACACATCTCATAGGTTTGGACGGGAATGACAACGTTATTGAACTTCAAAAGTACCAAGAAGGTCATTTCTTGACCATCTTTGCAAGTTTGTAGGTGAATAGCCTTTTTATGTTCCATCCAAACCTATGACATACGTTGACATTTTTTTGTCTTGTCGAGACAAATCCATTTCTGTAAGAAGATCTTGATTTGGACCAATTGGAAAATTCACTCAAACCGCTGAGAAATATTACAAGATTGGATTTCAAGGCGGCACTTGTAACGTCAAGTTGAAAAGATCTCGGGCTAAATCCATTTCCAAAAAGTTTTAGTAAATTTTCAAAATCGTCTAAACTGACTTTGATGTCATGAAATGACTGCCTCTTGACAAGTGTACTGTACAAATTAAGGTGATCGCCGTCCTTCCAGGTACAGTAAACGCTGTACCTCTAGGTACAGTAAACACCGTGCTTCTAAGTACGGCAAATCCTGTTAATAAATTAACGGAGAATACCCTACATTTTTCGCACAGTGTACCCCCTACACCCGACTCTGGGGGAATGCCGACAACCGTGCGTGGAGTATAGCCAACGCCATCAGGAGCTGTCAATACTCCCTGACAGGGGCATTTCTGACCTATTACGCGGTTATTACGCGGCTATTACGATAATATTACGTGTATTACGTTATTATTACCGATATTACGCGACTACTTCGGTTATTACGCCGTCATTACGGCTATTACGTTGTTATTACAGAGCAGGTGACCCGACTATTACGCGAGTTGCTACCCCCTCGGTTTAAGTATACCTCGCCCGATAATGGGTATTGATCAAGACTCTTTACACTCTCAGCCGTTTACTGACTATTTCTCATTAGCAGACGCATTTCTGTAAGCAACCATAATACTTAGTATTTTTTGTCATTATTACTTAGCAATTACTAATTACTGTACACTGAGAAAACAAATGCGGAGGATTCCGCACAATCTGGTGCGGTGTAATTTTCTATCAATTTGACCGCACTAACTGATGCGGAGAAGATTGACTTCATTTACTCATGCGGAGTGTGCCAAATTGATGCGGTCTCAGTTTTGACCGCATTAGTTTAGGTGGATTTCAAGATCCCACGATATCTACAGCAGTGGCAACTTCCCTTCCCAGTAGCCGTTACGTTTACTTGGCCATCTCATTTACTTCTTAAACAATATTATTTGGGAAACCAGTACATACCTGTCATTCTGTCATGTAGAGGTTTGTAACGCTGAGATGAGCGTAAAGTTAACAGCGATCAGCCTCATTAAAAAGCAGTAGTTTTGTTTTATAAAAACCAATGATTGAAACTGCATATTGTCAGCGATGAATTGTCACACAATTTGAAAACACAATTCAAAATTATTTTTATCTTTCAAGTCCTCGGCAATCTTCGGTGAGAACAGCACTGAGGTATCCAATGCTGTCCAGCCCTGGGCAAGGTTGAGGTTAAGTGACCGGGTTGCTTTGGCAGAAATATTTTCAACACTGCAATATAGAAGCATGTCAACACATGCGAAGCACTACAGTACAACTGTATTTTAGTAATATTCATAATTTTATGCTTTGAAACATCCACAACTATTGAAAATTCGTTTTTTTTTCACACAAAGAAAGTTCAAGGCACACACTTTCATAGTGAACAACAAAACAAACCTAAGAACAAGAAGATGGTAGGGCCAACCTAAGATCTTGAGAACGTGCTAGCGTTAAAGTAAAGCCAACTTTGGATGTATATTAGGGATTTTTAAGGGAATGGTATGTTTATTAAAGCTTAAAATTTGATGAACGACTCACGCAAAAGAACAACTTTATAGTTTACTTTCTCACTCATATGATGTTATTTTCTTATGTTGGCACTCCTTTGTTTTTGTTTATCTTATTTATTTTGTTGTTGATCGTGTGTGACAGTGTCAGAGTTTGATTTGAAAGATTATTCCTTTAAAAACGTTCTTACAATGGTTTGGAATGACTCAGACCCTGAAATTATGAAATAACCTCAATCAAAGAAATGCTGTAGTGCGTCTTGTGCGTTGACTTGTTCAAATACAGCAGCACAGACAATTCTTCAGTCAAGCAGCCGGTGGGTTTAACCTTACCAGCATACAGCATAGCCTGGCTCATGGAAACTAGTAATGCTATCACCAAGAAGTTTGAGGCTAAATATAATTTAAAGTGATGAATAACAATAGTTTGATACTGCATTTGGAACAATATCCAGTGTCAATCAACATTTTGTACAGACAAAATTATTATTCCGTGGCTTGCTGTTTCAAACACAGGATATTTACTCATCGCAGCGTTACAAACATTTACGTCAAAGGTATATGTTGGTTAGTCAATGATAAGCATCAGAAGTAAATGAGAAGGCACAGTACATGCCATCCTTTTCTTGTTGTCCAGTAAGAGACGGAAAGTTGGTAGCAGCCGCTAGCTGTTTGGCTGTTATGAAATGTAGGACTCCGCATCAGTTCATGCGGTCAAAATGGAAACCGCATCAGGAAATGCGGTTAAATTTTACACCGCATGACTCCTGCGGTGAAATTGCATCAAAATCCTGGCTATCCAGGTGACCGCATCACTTCATGCGGTCACTTACTTAAACCGCATTTCAAATGCGGAATTCTCCGCATTTGTTTTTTCAGTGTACTGATATTACCGTTTTCTTAGTAAATTACAAAGAACTTTTTAAGTATTTAAGAACTAAATACTAAGTATTATGGTTGCTTACAGAAATACGTCTGCTAATGAGAAGTAGTCAGTGAACGGCTGAGAGTGTAATTCTCAGTGTAACAAGAGTTGAGTAAGGATGGAACATGGAACAGAGGCTATCAACCTTGGGTTCGCGGAAAAATTTCGAGCGGTCTCCCGGCTGGACGCCAGGCCAAGCCCTGGCGGGAACTGCATTCTGAAAACCATACAAACTTCCAAAGCAAACAATTTGTTATGACGAATAACTTTGAGCATACACAAGCTATCAAAGAAAATACTTCGTAATTTATTAACTTGTTCTTCGTATGCAAAGTTATTTAGTTTGCACTATGTAACGCTCAAAATACTCCGTAAAGGTTTTAAGCGTGTGGGCGTTTACTTAAAATTCTTTCAAAAAGGGCATTGTTTTTTTTGTGGGGGAGGGTCCTGAGGGTCGTGAAAAATTTTGGCTACAAATTTAGGGTTGTTCGGGAAAAGGTTGAGAACCGCTGGGTTACAAGTTCTTCCTTGAGGACTTCCTTTCAGATTGTCTAAAACTTGACCTAAATAATTGTGATGTGATGGTGTGAAACATTCTTAGGCAGCTTAAAGAAAAGAGATTGCTTTCTCTCGTTCCATTTGTGAAGAGCATGTTGGAATTTTTGTAATGAAGATTGCTAAGAAAATGAATATTATAATTTACTTGACGGTTAAAGTTTTACAAGAAAGGGTCTTCTGCATTTGAGGCTGTTCTCAGCACCTCAGTTAGGGAACTTACAATTGGAGACTTTGCTCATTTATCGCTAAAATAACGAGTCCTTCGTTATGAGATGTTTTCGGCGCTGTTCTGATCACATTCGGTTTGTCCATCGGTTTTTTTGTTTAAAGAATAAGCGGAAAGCTTGTTTTAAATGGGGAGCAAGTCAATTATTTCGTAGCCTTTGTTCTTAACGAGTCTATATAGATATAAATTATTTCAAGACTTCTGACAATGACCCTCTGTTCCTTTCAGAAAAAGATTTATCTGCTTCTCATTAAGAGTTTCAAAACAGTGATAAAAACAAATGTTTGGCAGCATTCATTAGTATTTTATTTTACAATCAAGCATGTTGAAGTCACCAGCTATAATTTTTTTGTTAAAAGGGAATGCTTCTTAAACTTGGGAGCCTTCGGATGGGCATGACATGTGTCAAACTACTAGCAAAGTGGTGCATTCCTCCCTAAGCAACGGTGTCCGACTGCAGAGTGACGCGCATCGGGTACCAAGAACTCGTAAGAAAAACGGAACTGCGGGAAATTTCCTTGAAAGGTCATTATGAATTTCGACGAGTCCAACGTACCAATAAATCAGTCAGAAGAAACCAACAATACAGGAAGCGTCCTAAGACCGCGGATTCGTACTTGAGACGTGAGCCACTAACGAAAAAGTGCAGCCGGTCAGTAAAAACAGCAAAATCACTCATCAAAAACAATTAAAAAAGACAAACGGGAAAATGACTGCCTCTTAACTAATCGTAATTCTAAGGGGGAACCACACGTGAGCCAATTCAGATAGTTTCTTCGTCCGGATGTGGCGTTTGAGATTGCTGCTTGTGCTGCACTTTTTCTTGCTGACTGAGAACTCGAAAGGCTTCTACCTAGTGTGGGTTCTGAGATGCCTTCTGAGATTTTGTGGTGTATTGAAACTCTTCTAGCAAACGGTGCACTCGTAAGGCTTCTCCTCAGTGTGAGTGCGAAGGTGCATTCTCAGACTTCGACCTTGCGTGAATTTCTTCTTGCAAACGGTGCACTCGTAAGGCTTCTCCCCAGTGTGGGTGCGAAGGTGCTTTCTTAAATCCGAACTTGCAGTGAACTTGTTCTTGCAAACGGCGCACTCAAATGGCTTCTCCCCTGTGTGCGTTCGAAGGTGCGTTCGGAGGTGGTACCTCTGAGTGAACTTCCTCTTGCAAAGTGCGCACTCAAAAGGCTTCTCCCCAGTGTGGGTCCGCTGGTGCCTTCTTAGAGCGCTCCAGTCAGAGAAACTCTTCTTGCAAACTGTGCACTCGAACGGCTTCTCCTCAGTGTGAGTGCGAAGGTGCGTCCTCAGAGTTCCACCTTCCGTGAACCTCATCTCGCAAATTACACACTCGAAAGGCTTCTCCCCGGTGTGGATCCGAAGGTGCCTTGTTAAGTTTCCATTTAGAGCAAACTTCTCCTCGCAGAACGTGCACTCGAAAGGCTTCTCCCCGGTATGGGTCCGCAAGTGCCGCTGGAGGGCACTCCTGCGTCGGAACTCCTTCTCGCAGACTGCACAGTGGAGTGCCTGCTGCCCTCCACGCTTGCCACGTGGAACACGCGGCGCCGCTGACGATGCCGCCACCTCGCCGCACAGTGAGCTCTCGAGGGGCATGATGCGCCTGGCAGGGAGGGCTGCTGGAACACACGGATCCAATAGTCTAACTTCAGGCTTGCCCACTGTGACGGAGGCCAGAGGACATTGACCATACCTAAGGTGCAGGCGAAGACCTCAAAATGCAAAGGGGAACGGTGCACACCGACTCGTGTCCTGTTCTGCAAGAAAATAAAGTAAAACTGTTTAAGGAGTAGACGCAGGTGAAATTCTTCAAGGCTCCACACATTCCCCAAACGGTGGACAATTGGTACAAAAAACGTTAACGAGCACACTGAAAATTTGGTATATTAACGAATCCTGGACCGGAAGTCAAAGAAGAAAAGTGACAACCGAAACCGCTTCAGCGCATGCACAGTCGCCTACCCAGAGTCGCGGGGGGACGTCCAAGCATGCGCAGAGGCGGTTAGTTCTTACTCTTGCTCTTCGGTTTACGGTCCACAAATTCGTTAATTACCCTAAAGTTTAAGACTTTTCGCCAAGATATGGCGCAACACAGATTGACCCTTCACTCCTAAAATTTATCGGATGCGGGCCAAAATCATTTTCGGAGTTCTGCCGCTTACTCCATTTGAAACGTGGATACAAACAACACCGTATGCTGTTTAGATTAGATCACGTCGATGAGCGCGCCGATATCTGCCTGCCTGACAGCCTAGCGCCCCTGGTCAAGCCAAGAGCAAACACAAGGCGTCGATTCTCTGAACTGGAGCAGGATCGCGACGGCGAAGCCTGTAACGACAAGCCATGCTTTGCCGTCTTTTTCAGTTACCCGGTTGGACAATGTCCATGGACACCCCTTCTTTTTTCCCCACAGTGGCGCAGCATTACGCTGGCCTGGACCGCCCCGACGTAGCGTCACTCAAAATTACTCCTGACAACACTGTTAGCCGTCTCACATTCTGAGTGTTCGCGTAACGTTACGCCGTCCCCTCCCGTCCTCACCGCAGTGTAACGCACTGGGTCCCCCTTCCCTTCAGTGCGTACCGTGATGGACGTCCGCAAACAAACGCAATTGGCAAAACAAACTCAAATCGACAGCCACTTGTTTGGTTTCACCTTTGCAAGTTTGCGTTGATCGGAACGCTTCACGTTTCTCGTAGATTTTCGTCGTGAGGTTTTCAGTGACTAGAAAAAAAGGTGACTGGCTTATCAAGCGAACAAGTGGAACTGCCTGCATATACACACTCATGAGCAGTTCTCGCGAAATGGTAAATTTTGGGCCCTGAAACTTTTTGAAAAAAAGTTCAATTGAAACCGGGTTTTTTGCATTTATCTTGTTAAGAACATCACTAGGGATCATGGATTCATCGGGGCGAGCTATCACCTCAATAATATAGGAAATATCGCAATTTTAATTTTTTTGCCGTCCACGGAAATTACACAGCCTCAGAAACTGTCCACGGAAATTACATTTTAATGGGCCCTTAGAATAGGTGCGATACGAACGCAAACGCCTAGCAGTTTAGGCAGCTCCCTCCACATCTGTGCATTCTGGTTCCATGTTGCGTACCTCACAATAAAATTTCGGGCTAGACCACGATTTGATCGTATGCCGTTTCGGGCCCGACTCATGCCCGCGTGCACTGCCAAACGGGACACGGCCGTGGCCGTCCTTACTGGGGTGCCACGTTATACTGGCGGAGAAGAACCTCGTGCGGCTACAAGGTCCCACTCGTAGTGTGACCAGTATGTGACGAGGTGTACATCCCCCCCCGGGGGGGGGGGACACCCTAGAACAGCCTCTTTGAGCAGGACTGGGTCCGGTGTCCACCTCTCCCGGCTCAATTCCCTTGTCTCGGGAACAACTGTGAATTCATTTTCTTCTGACCACGGTTGCATAGTGTTTACCTCCCAGGCGGTACCTCTCACACTTGGCAAATGATGGGCCCTACAGTGGACAACGGAGGAAAGTCCCTCTTGATCAGCTCCTGCGTGTCTATGTTCGGAAAATATTAAATAATGGGTGCGATCAGTTGAGGAAAAGTTGATCGGCGGGTCGAGACAGCGGCCCGCTCGCGGTGCGGTCTATTTAGCCCTCCTGGAAGCATATCTGGCACCCACGTTTACTAACCTATATTTTCGGAAAGATTTCTCTTTGAGTTTGAGGAACAGATTGCTGCAATTTATTCGATAAACTGGGTCTTAGCATTCGAACGGCAAGCTTAGGAAAGACTTCATGTTGCTTAACATATCGGTCAGGTTAAGTCCACCGCAAGTCTTAAATGGTAAGCTAGATCCCAAAATACAGCGAGCCTATTTTTCGCAAGACATTAAGCTTTCGGTTAAGCTTTCCGATCTGAATAATCAACGTTGAACGGTTTCACTGACTCGCAGTCACAACTGTCAAGGCAGTATGCCGGCCGCGCCGAACAAAGCAGCATAAAACCGCTTGGTTGTCCAGAAAATACAGTGTTTGACCAATCTGATGAGTGGAGTCGAAAGCTTAGACTCTTGCAAAAAGTCGGCTCGCTGCTCGTTTGGGTCCATTTTGTGACTTGCGGCGGGTTTAACCTGATGGATGTTGTGTTAAACTACGCCACGACTTTCCTCAGCTTGCCTTCCCATTCCCCATGCCCATTTCCCTCCAGGATGGCATTCCCTCCATAAGACAGGTTTAAAACAGAAAAATATCGACATACTTTTGAGCTGAGGCCCCTTGCGAGGCCAAAATCACGTGAAACGCAACGAAAACCTCATTTTGTCCACGGAAATTACAGTCCACGGAAATTACATTATTGCATAAAATGGGGTGTACAAGCCAAACCAGAAGTGCCACCGGAACCAAAATTTTACTGGAACAACTTGTCCACAAGGCAAACACACAAGGATTGGTTCGCAATCAAAATTTTGAATGGTCTGCAAGCAATGGGTGGAACGGAAATTACACTTATTGCTTGCTAGGCCAATTTTTTCGCCGCTTTGGAACTTATTTAACTTTATATTTTCCGTTCTAATGGTGCCACATTACTCCGCCACTTTGCAAATTGTGTAGAACGAATGCATCAACAATATGAGAAAAGTTTCAGAACGGTCGCACATAAGGTAGAAAAACCGTCCCAAAAAAACCGATTTTAGACTTTTTGAATTTTAGTTGTGGAAGACAATTTTCGGAATCATCTTGTGTCTGCAAATTTTACCCGAGAGATACGTTCTACACGTCAAAACGTAGCCTCACTTGCGTAGAACAAAATGCACTTAGCGAAGATGATTTCTCATACTCCCTTGGGCTGTAGTAGAGGCGGGAAGCCCCAAATCTGGAGCGTAGGACATCAAAAAGTGTCCACGGAAATTACATTCTAGGGTAAAACTTGCAATTTAACGGTGGAAGGAGGCAAAATTTCATCTTGATGAGAGTTGTACCTTGTCCGCAAGGTCAAAAAACATAAATGTAGGAAAAGACCCGGTTAAAATCGACTTTAGGTTGGAAGAACCAGAGAGAGGACACGAAATTATCACATCTCGCGAGAACTGCTCACATACACACTGAATGTTTGTGTACAATTTTATTACGGGTAACTTGCACGATAAAAAGCATATACGTACAGTTGGCATACCAGTCAGCGTACAAAAAAGCGTAAATTTCAGCGAATTGGGGCACAACTGCGAGCTGAACGATGCAAAGATTCAAAATTACGCAACACCAAGTACAAAATTGCACACAACCATTTAGCGCGCAGGCTTCCTCGGCGCCTCGTTGGCAGTGCAGCCTTCACCGCCGCGCGGTGCACCGTCACTCTGCAGCCAACATGTGCCTCGCGTGTCGACTGCAACTTACCATCGGGTAATCCGCCTCGGGCAAGCCGACGAGGGACCGCTGGGAACACTGCGGCTGCGTTTCACGGCCCCAAGTGCGCCACCAACTCTGCAACGGAAGTGGAGAGGAATTGAAGAAGGGCAACGGATTCTGCGAATGCACCGTGCGGACAGCGGGAAGAGAGGACGCGTGGAGGGGCAACGATCGCTCTTGCGCAATGTCTGGATGTCTTTCGTACACTCTAAATGTCTTACGAAGAAATTTCCCATAATACGAAGGAAATGGCGCAAGCATAATACGAAGATGTTTATTCTTTATGTTACGAAGGAATATTGCTTCGTATTATGCTTGCGCCGAATTCACTGTAACATACGAATAACATAGGTAAAATTTCATTGTAAGACATTTAGAGTGTAGTCTGTGCTTCCGCTTCCGATTTACCTAAAAGGTTCACTCACAGTGTACAGAGCTGAGGCTGCCCCAGTGTGAGAACGCACAGACTTGTTTCAGCGGAGCCTTTCGTTCTCAAGGCCAACCATCCAGAGACGCTGACCTCACAGGCTATCTTTCTAGGGAGTTGTGAGATAATGAAAGCGGAGATAAACATATAAACAAAATTTTTGTCATTTTCCAGAAGAAACTACGTGCAGGGAAAACAACAAATCACTTTAATGACGCGGAAGATCATTGTTGTCCGAATAGCCTCATCAGCACTGCGGCAACTTAGAGAAGGTCAGTTCACTTCGCAGAAGGTTCCTGTGACTTTGACTGTTATGGACTGCAGGTTCATGTTGCCTGAACTTACTTTATCCCAAATAAGTAAGACTTTCGTTTTCTGTCCGAGGACCAGCTGCTGCTCGAGCCCAACGCGGTGTTCGCCGTCACGGGGCTGGGGGTGCGCGCGGAGCGCAGGCCGTGAGGCCGTGAAAAGCAATGCCTCGCCCAGAATCTCGTCAAAGACTGCTGTCTCTCGTTTCGTTTCTGAGCTACATGTTTGTATTATTGTAATAAAATCTTCCAAGTAATTTGTTACATTATAATTTATTTGTCGGTAAAAGTTGTACATGAAAATGTTTACTGCAGTGCATGCAGGTTACGACTCCTTACAACACTGAAAAACCAAACGTGGTCTAGACCACACCAACTGGTGTGGTCAAATGGATGCCATTTTGACCGCATCAGTTGGTGTGGTCTAGACCACGTTTGGGGCGTTTGGTGTGGTCTAGACCACACCAAACGTGGCCAAACGTGGTCTAGACCACACCAAACGTAGCCAAACGTGGTCTAGACCACACCAACTGATGCGGTCAAAATGGCATCCATTTGACCACACCAATGATGCGGTCTAGACCACGTTTGGTTTTTCAGTGAATGGAGTACTTAAATTCAAAAACATGTTTCACCACTTTAGTGTGCGTGCGTATAATTTCCATTCCACGCCTCGGTGTCTCTATTCAAGGATGGAGGGAACATCAGCGATTTTCGACAAAGATAAAGAATGTAGAAATGCCTGCATTGTACCTAGACTTAACACAAAGACCTTGAGCAATACAAGAACTCATCGACCTATTAGAAAAAGGACAGCCGACCAAAGTTCCATAAATGCGGTCGATGGAAGGAAAGCCCGTTAGTTCCTCATGGAAATTCCGTTTGCTGTCTGGATCTCAGATATGTTAAGACCCAGCCCCTTAAACACATGCAACCGAAAAGACAAAAACGCTCAAAATTCCCGGGGTAAGGTGAGTTACAACAAAAAATAATTAAGGGGAGAATTGGAACATCAGATTCATTCGAAGAATTGTGGTCAACTAGCTGCTTAACCGCGCATGTGCAAATCGTCGGTTAGAAACACATAATTTGCTCAGAAAAACTGAAACCTGAGGAATAATCTCTATTCGCTATAATAAGAACTCGGAAGAAACACAAATAAACTTATCAAGAAATTTAACTTGGAAGCACTCGAACTGCTCCTCCCCACTGTATCTGATGTTATTTCCGCTTAACTACTTGCCAACTGTCTATATCCAAGGCTACTATCCCATAATGTGGGTCCCACGGTGCTTTTTAAGATTTTCAGCAGTAGCGAACTTTTTCTTGCAAACCGTGCATTCGATAGGATTCTCCCTGGTGTGCGTTCGAAGGTGCTTTCTTAGATTCCCACTATGATTAAAACTCTTCTTACACACGGTGCACTCGTAAGGCTTCACTCCAGTGTGGGTTCGAAGGTGCATTCTCAAACCTCCAGCTTGCGAGAACTTCTTCTTGCAAACGGTGCACTCGAAAGGCTTCTCCACAGTGTGGGTGCGAAGGTGCATTCTTAAAGCCGAACTTGCAGTGAACTTGTCCTTGCAAACGGCGCACTCAAATGGCTTCTCCCCTGTGTGCGTTCGAAGGTGCGTTCCAAGGTGGTCTCTCCGAGTGAACTTACTCTTGCAAACTGCGCACTCGAAAGGCTTCTCCCCGGTGTGGGTCCGCTGGTGCTTTCTTAGAGTGCTACTGTCAGAGAAACTCTTCTTGCAAACTGTGCACTCGAACGGCTTCTCCTCAGTGTGAGTGCGAAGGTGCGTCCTCAGAGTTCCACCTTCCGAGAACCTCTTCTCGCAAATTACACACTCGAAAGGCTTCTCCCCGGTGTGGATCCGAAGGTGCGTTGTCAGCTGACCCTTTTGAGCAAACTTATTCCCGCAGAACGAGCACTCGAAAGGCTTCTCCCCGGTGTGGACTCGGAAGTGCCGCTGGAGGGCACTCTTGCATCGGAACCCCTTCTCGCAAACTGCACAGTGGAGTGCCTGCTGCCCTCCACGCTTGCCACGTGGAACACGCGGCGCCGCTGACGATGCCGCCACCTCGCCGCACAGTGAGCTCTCGAGGGGCATGATGCGCCTGGCAGGGAGGGCCTGCTGGAACACATAGATCAATTAGACCAACTTCAGGCTTGCCCACTGTAACCGAGGCTAGAGGACATTGACCATACCGTGAGTGTAGGCGAAGACCTCAAAATGCAGAGGAACGGTGCACACCGACTCGTGTCCTGTTCTGCAACAAAATGAAATAAATATGGTCGGTAAAGGAGTAGACGCTGATGAAATTCATCAAGGCTCCACAAAATTCCCTAAACGGTGGACAATTGGTCCAGTAAACAATAACGAGAACACTCAAAATTGCGTATAGAAACGAATCCCTGGACCGGAAGTCGAAAAACAAAAGTGAGAACCAAAACCGCTTCTGCACATGCTCAGACGCCAACTCAGAGTCGAGGGGGGATGTCTGCGCAGAGCCGGTGAGTTCTCACTTTTGCTCCTCAGTCCAGGAAGTCGTTAATTACCCTAAATTTGAAGACTTTACGCCAGGATATGGCGCAACACAGGTTGACCTTTCACTCCTAACGTTTATCGGATGCGGGCCAGAAACATTAAACGATGGGTCCTATGAACAAAGACCGCTATGCTTTGCATCGTTTTAACAAAGACCGCTATGCTTTGCATCGGTTGAACAAAGACCGATATGCATTTGAGGTTAGATCGCCCTCTCATTTCATCTTACTAAGTTTCATAGTAGTCCGAACAAATGTGAGATGATAGTGTGTTCATTTTGTGCATAAAACATAAGAGAATCAGAAAATTTCAAATTCCAGTCCGCGATCTCATTACCTCAATTGAAAATCGCGTTTCTAATGGGAAAGGGAGAAGCGGCCAAAAGCATGGCGGTCTTTGTTCAACCGACGCAAAGCATAGCGGTCTTTGTTCATAGGACCCATCGTAAAGGAGTTCGGCCTTCCTCCGTCTGAAGTGTGGATACAAACAATTAACGATCAAACGGTGCCTCCAACAAGTGCACACACTAAATTCTTATGGGCTTTTTACATGCGTAAGAACGCATTATGCTTAGTTATGCATGCGCAGAAACGTCCATAAGATACGTATAAAATTATGCATCACTGTGTACATTTTATGCTTTTTCCTGCATAAAATGTACACAGCACTGATAAAAATTTTGTCGTAACTTAGCGACACATTCATCGCTAACTTTTTTAGCGTCAAGATTTGTCGTGGAACGAACAGCTTGTTAAACCAAAGTCGTACTGGAACTAAAGGATAATTTCACAACGACTACCTTGTAATGACACATCAACAGTCCACCTTCAGAAACAAGTCGTTGACCAACAACAAAGTCAACGACAAGTATTGTAAGTCATAAAAGATTTTGTTGTCTGCGACAAGTATTCATGGAGTACTTTTGTCGCTAAATTTATTTTGGATGGTTCTTTTCTTAACAATAGTAATTTCCCTGTGACTTAGAAGAACAAAAGAGATGATTATTCATAATGTGGTTTAACTGAGTAGATGATTGCAAAAGATGTTGTTTCCACACAAAATGTACATTCAAATTTAGGGTGACGAATCAAGAATAAGTGAGAAGACAAAAGTCGTTTCTGATGACAGACTTGTGCTCAGAGTCTGATCGATGGTTCATGGAAACTTGTTTTGGCGACTTTTGCTCACTCTTCGTCGATGTTATTCCCAAACTTTTACAGATAGAACAAGCTGATCATAATTTCATAAAAACATATGAAGTATCGCTCTGTCTGAATTGATACAGAAGTCCATCAGTTAAGTGTGCAAACACCGCAGCTGCTTTGATTTAGATCACGAGGATGAGCGCGCTGTGTCTCGCAGGGAGCCTGCCAAAGGCAGCCCAGCTGCAGCTGGCCAAAGCCAGGTTAAAACCAAATTGTCGGAAGGGATTTTCGAAACATGGTCAGAGTTTCGCGATGGCGAAGCCTGTTACGACAAGCCAACATGGTTTGCCGCTTACTCAGATGCGCGGTTGTAGACATCCCTCCTTTTCCCCTTAGTGGCGCAGCATTACGCTGGCCCAGACCGCCCTGATGTAGCGTTAAACCGAATAATTCATGAAAACACACTGCCAACCCTCTCACATGCAGAGTGTTACGCGTGACGTTGCGCCGTCCCCTCACGTCCATACCGCAGCGTAACGCACTAGGTCCCCCTTCCCCCAAGCGCGTACCGTGATGGACGTCCCCAAACAAATGCAACTGCCAACACGAACTCAAATCGATGGCCACTTGTTCGGTTTCACCTTTTAAAGTCAACGTCGATCGGAACGCTTCACGTTTCTCGCCGATTTCTCTTCAGGCTAGTGCGGACGACCCGAAAGAAACCCTGCCGTGGTAAGCTTGTCTGACGGTAAATCTTGACGTTTACAGTGACCGGAAACAAAGGTGATTGGGTTTCCAAGCGAAAAAATTCCCTGGTTCAACTGATTGTTTCTGCATACACTCACACACTGTATGATGGCGTACAATTTTGTTCATGTAACTTGAACGATTGTGTGCATATACGTGCAATGTGCGTACTACTAGGCTCTCCAAAGGGTATAAATTTAAGCAGCTCTCGGCACAACTTTGAACAAAACGTAACGCAGGTTTAAAATTCTGCAACACCAAGTACAAAAGTGTCCTCAAACATTTATCGCGCAGGCTTCCTCGGCGCCTCGTCGGCAGTGCAGCCTCTACCGCCGCGCGGTGCACCGTCACTCTGCAGCCAACAAGTGCCTCGCGTGCCGACTGCAACTTACCTTCGGGTAATCCGCCTCGGGCAAGCCGACGAGGGACCGCTGGGAACACTGCGGTTGCGTTTCACGGCCCCAAGTGCGCCACCAACTCTGCAACGGAAGTGGAGAGGAATTGAAGAAGGGCAACGGATTCTGCGAATGCACCGTGTGGACATCGGGAAGAGAGGACGCGTGGAAGGGGAACGCTCGCGGTTACGCAATGTCTAGATCTCTTTCCTAGTCTGAGCTTACGCTTCAGAATTATCTCGAAGCTTCACTCACAGTGTACAGAGCTGAGGCTGGCCCAGTGCGAGAACCCACTAATGTGTCTCCGCAGAGCCTTTCGTACTCAGGGCCCACCATCCAAAAGCGCTTAAGGGAAAGTGGGGTAATTCCGGACACGGGGTAATTCCGGACACTTCGATTTTCACTGGGTTTGAGTGAAGATAACTCAAAAGCCCGCCTAACAGAGAAGTAATCATTTAAAAGGAGAATTCCAAATCGCCAAAGTAGGAGGTCAAACCGTTTGCCTGTGTCGCTTCACGAAATTTGAGTACCATCAAAATATGCAAAAGCTGCATCTTTCCCTCGTATTTCCATGTACTTATCGTACCTTACCGTCAAGTTCAGTCCCATTACTAAAATTTATCATATTAATGGTCATTGGACTTTACTTTGGCGTTTCGGGAGTGCTTGTATGGCTCGCCGTTTTCTTACAGTTGAACATCAAGGTTTTCACTACCGTGGGTAATCCGGACAATAAGGTATTTTCTTCAATTTGCCCCTAAGTACTGTAAAACTCAAGTGGGCTCTTTGGAATAGTCCACCTTAAAAACATACAGCCAAATGACGAAAAACATTCATTCTATGTTTTGAGCTTTTTACTCTTGACAATTTTCATAACCAAAAGTTTCGAAGGGGAATATTTAGGCTGATGAATGCCTTGAGTATAAACATTGTCGAAGCAAATTCCTTGAAAATGCATTTGATCCTTACTAAAAAGCAAAATATAGTTTATTTTAGTTTGGGCCTGTTTCCGAATTGGAATTTGACCCCTGGGGCAATAATAGAACGTGAAAGTTTCAGTTATGGCACCGAAATTTTTTCCCGCTAATTACGTTCTGCAATTCTCATGATACAGTTTGAGGAAGGGTTCATTCATCTATGTAAGCACTTAACCAAAAAGGCATATTTTTAAGTAAAACCAAAAAGAAAAAAACGTCCGAAAATTCCCCACTCCCCTTCCCCACATTTTTCTATTTACAAGGGAAAGTAAAAATGGGGGTAAAAATTCCCAAAATTTTTTCATTTTCCCGAAAAACTGGGGGCAATCCCGACACTTTAGGGTTTTTTAGCCTAATTTTCCCCAAAACTTGCGGAATGGAGGACTTTTGAGGGGTCCTATTAAAATCTTATCTTTCCCCCCAAAACAATTTACTTAAACGAGGCAAATTTACTCACTTTGACCCCCGGGGGTGGGTAAGAGTAAGCAATATTTTACATGACTATGGTTTTCTTTGATTTTTTCATCTTCACATTTCATGAATTTATCACAAAAATTATTGGCGTTCCAATATCAAACGAGGAAATTTTTCCCTTTTTTGACTGAAGGTGAAAAAAACATCTTCCAAAGTATATGGCTCTTTGGTTTTTTATTTAGTTTTTAATAAAAAAATTTTTTCACCACAACGGATCCCAATCCTATTATTCCAAAGTTATGAGGGTTTTGTGTTTTTGTCGTTTACAAAAGATCTCCTTGCGATGAACCAAAAAGTTTACGGAGGTGTGACTTTTTATTTTTAGGCTTGATGGACATGCAAACAGACTAGCGAAGTCGGATTTGACAATATATGCATAGATAAGCTGTAATTTCCATTTGGAAAATGCGTTTTTAATTTTTTACTTAAAGTTGGTAAAATTTTGGTATTTTTAGGTGTTTTTTTGAGTTTTTTGAGAAAAATTCCTGTTTCATGTTGGAATTTTGGAAATCCGCCTTTGCTACGAGATAGGCAAATCAATAAAGAACTTGTAAAACAAAATTCAAGTCTCGATGGTTCATCGCAAGGAGAATTTATAGTAAACGACTAAATCTGTTACGTAAACTGCAATAACTCAGAAAATAATGGGAGTTGAGTGCCTCAACTTTGGGTTCAAGTTCATCTTATAGTAAGCAACCTGAAACCTAAATACAAACATGATGCCACAATTATTTTGCAAAATGATATTTCACATTTTTTCACTTTACAGTAACCTTAAGATAAGATTGTCTTGGGGGAAACGCCCAGATAAGATCATTTGAATAGGACCCCTCGACTTCGCAGAGGGTTCCTGAGACTTTAATTTTTACGGACTTCAGATTCATGTTGCCTGAACTTACTTACTTTATCCCAAAAAGAAGAAGCCTTTCGTTTTTTGTCCGAGGACCAGCTGCTGCTCGAGGCGTGAGGACCGCCGCCTCGCCCAGAATCTTGACAAAGACTGCTTTCCCTTGTTCAGTTTGTGTGTTTCATGTTTGTATTTTTGTAATAAACCTTTCAAGAAATTTGTCATTATGATTATTTATTGGTCGGTGAAAGTTGTACAAGAAAATGTGCACTGCAATTTGAGCAGCTTTCAGCACCTCACTTAGGAGAACTTGCATTCGGAGACGTGTGTCACAAATTTAATGTACGAACGTAAAGTTAATTTCCATGCCTCGGTGTCCCTATTTAAGGATGGAGGGAACGTCAGCGAGTTTTGAGAAAGACTAAGCATATATAACTGCCTGCATTATACTAAGACTAAACACAAAGGCCTTAAGCAATAGAAGAACTCTTCAAGCTATTCAAAAAATGACTGCCGGCCACAGTTCAATGAATGTGCTATAGAGCCTGTTATAACCTCTTGAAAATTTCGTTTGCTCTCAGAATAGTTCAGACTGAGCCCCTTAAATACAAGCAACAGGTCACAGAAAAACACCGGAAAGACAAAAACGCACAACATTGCCGGGATGAGGTGAGTTACATCAAGAATACTAACGGGGGAACATCGAAGGGGTTCAAGTTCGAAAACTTGTAGTCGTCAAGCTGCTGTACCGCGCATTTGCACATCGTCGATTAAAACCACTTAATTTACTCAGAGAAACTGGAATCGAACGACCTCTACTCGCTATTTTAAGGACTCGAAAGAAACACAAATAAACTTTTACAGAAATTGAACCCGAAAGCACTCGAACTGCTTCTCCCCACTGTGTCTGATGTTATTCCCGCGTGACTTCTTGCTGACTGCACATCGAAAGCTTCTATCCGATGATATGGGTCCGAAGGTGCTTTTTGAGATATTGAGCAGAAGCGAACTTTTTCTTGCAAACCGCGCACTCGAAAGGTTTCTCCCGAGTGTGGGTCCGGAGGTGCGTTCTGAGATGTCCACTTTGATGGAACGTCTTCTTGCAAACCGAGCACTCGAAAGGCTTTTCCCCGGTGTGGATGCGGAGGTGTGTTCGGAGTTTGCCACTTTCAGTAAAACTCTTCTGGCAAACAGTGCACTCGAAAGGCTTTTCTCCGGTGTGGATGCGAAGGTGTGTTCGGAGTTTGCCACTTTCAGTAAAACTCTTCTGGCAAACAGTGCACTCGAAAGGCTTCTCCCCGGTGTGCGTTCTAAGGTGTATTCTCAGACTTCCACTTACACTAAAACTCTTTTGGCAAACAGTGCACTCAAAAGGCTTCTCCCCAGTGTGGGTCCGAAGGTGCAATTTTAGACTTCCACTTTGAGTGAACTTCTTCTGGCAAACTGCGCACTCGAAAGGCTTCTCCCGGGTGTGGACCCGCAAGTGATCTTGAAGGGCACTCTTATATCGGAACTCCTTCTCGCAGACTGCACAGTGGAGTGCCTGCTGCCCTCCACGCTTGCCACGTGGAACACGCGGCGCCGCTGATGATGCCGCCACCTCGCCGCACAGTGAGCTCTCGAGGGGCATGATGCGCCAGGCAGGGAGGGCCTGCAGAGTGAAAGAAAGTTGGCGTTAACGGTGAACTGGAGGAACTCTCAAGGCTCTTCACTTCGCGAGTTTTTGTTTCATAACGTATTGACGTTTGCGCGCAGTAGTAAGACTGTCAACATTTTTCTTTGATATGCAAACATAATTATCAACTTCGTCTTAAGAAATTCTTAACAAGACTATTGATCACAAACGTCAATGAATATTGATAATATGTCGTTTGAAGTATGATAGTGTTGAAATTATCCACAGCACAGCACTGTTCGGGATTATTTTGTGAAATTACGATTAATTGTCTGTTAAATTTGTACCACGAACTGCTCGTAAATTTAAAAAACGATCTGATCATCCACCTTTTGTCGTCAATTTACAAAAATATTCTTTAACTTACAAACTTTATCCTCAAATTTTGGTCGTTTCCGGCATTTTTTCTTCCTATACAGTAAGGAAACAACGGACGAAAACGCACCTTTTCAGACTTGCTTTTACAATCATACTTGTAAATTAACGATTTCACCTGTAAATTTTAGAAGCAGTTTGTAAAATGATGAACAGATTGTCAATTTACAATTTTCTTTGTAAAAAAAACAGTGCAGTTCGTGGTACAAATTTAACAGGCAACTATTCTTAAATATAAAGCTTCATTTGTAAGAAAACAAGTTTACGCGTTATAAAACGAGAATAGTCGTAAGATAACGGTTTTATCAGTAAGACTACGATCTTTCGTCAGTAACAATAAGATTTCATCGTAAAATTACGAATTGATTCCTAAATTTATGAGTTAAGTTTGTCGAAAATATTACAATTGTTCATGTCATGAATCTTGTAGTTAATTTACGAATTATTATTTGTAAAATTACAACACCAATTGTTGAGATTACTGTTGTAAAATAACGACTTCTCTTAACAGGGTTGCATGCTGTTACGAATCGCCGCAGCATGGGGTGATTTGTAACAGCCATGGGGCTTTTATAACAACCTACACATTAAATGAAACATCGTCGGGAATGTTATCTCCTCCAGCAGTTGTTCTTCGGATGTCCTGCAGACGCCTTAAAATCTACACCACAAGCTGCCGTTGACCGCCTCAGCATTAGCTGACCGACTAAGTCAACCCTAACCTACCTTTTTTCAATTTTGGAGGAAAGAATAGAATAACTTGCTTTAAAATTCATTTTGAGCTGAGTAAATGTATTGGAATCAGGCAGCAGATGATCCGAAAAATAATTCAAGCATTTAATTGCAAAGACTACTTAAATTCTTGTTTTTATACGGGTCTGTTACGGATCACCCCAAATGCCTGTTAGGCAAGAAATACGTCCCTAACTATCATTGGACAAAGTAAAAGCAACTTATGCCACGTGGTTACATTGTAAAGGGGTCACGCTTCAAGGCCCCTACGGTACTTCGATGGTGATTCATACCTGGGGAACCCCTAGACAGAAACTTCCTAGAACTCAAAGAGGTTGTCCAGTTAAGCACGGATCTTGCGGACTTCCGTGCGGATTTTGCGGAAGTTACACCCGCATGCGGATTTTGCGGTTTCTCCTTAATTTTGGGTGTGGGAACTAGAAAATTATGTCAGGAATGAACGATTCATCATTTTAAACACGAATTCGCAGCTCACGCGAAGCGGAGGACACTATTAAGTCGGTTTACGGTGACGGTTTCTCAGAACAGCAGACAATCGACTGTCGCAAGATGGCCGCCATTTCCCGCGCGATGCGTCAATGTTCGTGATGTTCGTTTGTTTGGAAAGCGCGCGCGGATGGAGAAG